CGATGGAAAACTCGCCGCCGTCGTTCTCGCATCCGAGCGGCAGGTTGCTCAGCGGGCGAGTGCGCGGCAGCGCCACGTAGCGCAGCAGCATTGCGCGCACCCACAGCAGCGTGTCCTTGAGCGCGCACACGGCCCTCGGCGGCGTCGGGATGGCGAACGCGGCGCGAAGGCGGTCGTCCATCAGCGAGGCTGCCCGCGCGCCAACGGTCCGATGCAATGCAAACACCAAGTGAAAAAACAAGGTCAGCGCGTCCGTCGCCGTGAATGGAAGTGCGGGCGACCGGCTGCTCACCTGCAAATTGGCGTCCGAGCGTGTGGAGCGAGGCGGGGACGTGGTAGAGGAGCAGGTCGAAGGTGTAGGTGGCCACTTGGGCATTCGATTCGGCAAAGACGGCATGGCGCGCCTCGTAGGCCTCGCTCCAGGCGGCGAGCTCGTCGTACGTCTCTGGAATGTCGCGGATGCCCATGCACCTGCCGACGTGGTAGAGCATGGCAAACAGGGCCTCCTTTTCCAGGCGCGACATGGGGCGCCACTCGTGCCGCTCGAGCCAGGATACCGGTTCGACGACAAACACCGAGAGCGTGTAGAGGAGGTCGTCGTTGGAGATCCTGGCGTTCCAGCGCGAGTGGAGGAAGTTCATGCGGGCCAGGGCGATGGCGGAGCGCGGGTCAGAGATGTCGTCGCCGACGCACTCCCAGCTTTCGGGCGAGTCGGGTCGGTCGTCCTGGCCGTCGAAGTCGAGCGGGGGAAGCGGGTAGGTGAGAAAGGCCTGGATGAGTCCCGCCGTATCGGCGTAGCGGCGCGGGGCATTGTCGGACCTCGACAGCTGTCCCGTCGCGAGGAGCAGGCTCGAGATGGTCGGGATGGCGTACGTCTTGAACAGGCCAAACTCGATCGCCTTGCCGTACAGGTACGGCGCATCGTACATGTTGACCAGCCGCACGATGCGCTGCGCGTCGCGCACGCCCGTGTACGTGTCGATCATGCGCGGCTTGCCCGTCCGCTTGCGCTCCTCGAGCGTGTGGCTGTACTTGCCGCCGTACCGCGCCTCGATGTCGCGCAGCCGGGCGTACCGCACCGCAGAGACGTACAGACAGTGCAGGCCCACGACAAACGCGGCGGCGACGAGGTACGATGTCATTGTGGGCCGGTAGAGGAGGGCGTGCGGTTCGTGGGAGGGCGAGGTAGCGGCGTGTCGCTGGTTATCGTCGCCACAGTGGGGATATGGTGCTGGTGGTGCTGGCCGTGCCGACGGTGGTCGAGATGGAAACCGTCGAGGCTCAGACCGGGGCCAGGCAGTTTCTCTCTTTATACGGCAGCATCTGCTGGCCAGATGCGACAGCCTTGCTTGTCTTGTTTGACAAGGGCCCAGAAGGGCAACGACCACAGCAAGCCGTGACACGGCCCTGTCGCTGTCTCGAGGCGTAGCGAAGCGAGGTGGTCCAAGGGTCTGCGGGGTGGCAGCTGACCCTTGCAGGTGTCGGCCGGAGTCGAGCTTCCGTGAAACAAAGCGACAATGGCCACCTTCCTCCAGCCTCGTCCTGCATGTTTGAGGAGCAAGGACATCAGCCCTATGGACTCACTCACACAGCTCTGCTGCACCATCAGTCCCACAGGACTGATGCAAAGCTCAACAAGAGCCATTTCATGACTGTTCCTCTTGCAGTGCAAGGCCCCTTTGCCATCTTTACAGCCTCTGACTGGTGCTCTGTTGCCTTCATGGATGCATCAAACAACTCTTGCTCCAGCCCCACTCTCACACCTTGTTGCAACACTCATGACTGCCTTTGTTGCAGCCGGCTTGATGGTGTCATCACTTTGGTCCATCAAGCAACAGCCTTGTTCCTCCCTGCCTGATGTCACAGCCCTGGCCAAATCGGGGCTGAGCGGCGCAGGCCAGCGGAGCAGAGGATTCCGGAGCCGAGGTGAATTCTCTCCGCGCCGCCGCGGAGAGGAATCACCAGGCCGCCAGCAATCCTCTGCGCGCCAGGCGGCGTCGGCATGCACCATGCGGCTCCGCAGTTGCTCCTGCTGGCAGGAGGATGCTTCGGATCCGCACCGAGGGCCAAGGGCTAGGCTTTGGGCACGACGGTGGCGTCCCACCTCGGAGCAATGCCTTGGGATGACAATGGAGGACAATAGGACAATAGAGGCCATTCCTGATTGGTCAAGGCAGGGATGCCTCGACGCCGTAGGTAGACAGTATATAGCCTAGTCCTCCTCCCCGTCGGTAGACTGGATGCCCCTCATCCAGCCTAGTCAATACCAGTCCTCACAGCTTGCTTGTCTTCCATCGACGTGAGAGCCCGAGGCTACCGTGTTAGGCGGCTGCCCAACGTGCCCCGCGGGTGCCCGAGTCCCGAGGAAGGGCTGACGGACGGCGGAGCCAAGCGGCAATTGCCGCAGCCGGCCCCTCGGCCACGAGGGGATCCCGAGGGGGCCAGTATAAAGTCCCTAGGTTCCCGAGGAGGCCCCTGATGGTCTCCTCGTCGAATGTACTATATCCTCTTCTCACTGAAGACTGGTGCAGCATCGATATCCCACTCCTCCTCATCCCTGACCTCTCCGTGCAAGCCCACTACCGTCCTCGGCCGCCCGCGGTATCCCAAGACCCCGAGGGCGTAACATACCGTTGCCTAGCAAATACAACGCCTATCGACAGATCACCTCGCCAGCTCACTTCAGTAGTCATCCTTGACCGTGGACGCCTGCCAACGGTGCTCACAGCCGCCCTCGGTATCAACCCGCCGTTCCCGAACCTTGCTCACGCCTCTGATGGGAGCACCAAAGCGATCGCCCTCCAACACGCAGAGACTTCTCCGCCCAACGGATACTCCTCTGCGCCCTCGCCAGGTCAACCGTTACACCTGACACTGCTGTTGCATTTCTACATCAAGGGCCTTCAGATAGAGGACATCATGGCCAGTTGCTAGCCACTTCAGTGCAGAGCTGCAGAGCATGCCAGCCCAATGAGTGAGTGGTTGCAGCAGTGCAATGTGGTGCACATCAGCACCCAGGCCTTGGTGACCATTGGCAAGCTTGAGGGCCTGAGCCCTCATCATGCCATCTGGAAGCACTTTGGAGTGCTCCAGAGCCCACACATCAAGTGCTTTGGCATCACTGGCAGCGGCAGCCTGCTCTTGCTGGATGCATGGGGCAACGGCAGCCAGGAGCGGCCAATCGTGACTGTCGGCAACGGCAGCTTGGAGATTATCGACCGCCTCAGGGGGCTCCTTGGCGGCCAGTACCGCCTTGCTTGCCATCCTGTCGGGTGTTAGGCGGCTGCCCAACACGCCCCCGCGGGCGCCCGAGTCCCGAGGAAGCGCTGGCGGGCGGCGGAGCCGAGCGGCAATTGCCGCAGCCAGCCCCTCGACCACGGAGGGGCTCGAGGGAGCTAGTATGTAGTCCCCCGGCTCCCGCAGAGGCCTCTGATGGTCTCCTCGTCGAATGTACTATATCCTCTTACCCCTAGAGACTGGTACAGCATCGATATCCTTTCTCCTCTTCATCCCTGACCTCTCCGCGCAAGCCCTATACCGTCCTCGGCCGCCCGCGGTATCCCAAGACCCCGAGGGCTTAACATCGGGCCCGATGGCGCCGGTGGCCGCATTAGCGGCTAATGCGGCCTACCATGTCAAGATCTGCAACCTGCAGCGTGCAGTAGTCCTCGCATTAAGACTGCTTCTTGCTACTACGCTCTCAACAAACGGACTTCGACCACTGCATGACGCCACCTGCCACGCACGGCGGCCTCAACTCTCGTCTCCCATCTCTTTGCCCGAGCGAGCTCTCTATGACGGCACCTGCTTGCGGTCTCGTCTCTTGTCTCCCTCAACCTTTCCCGGTACAATACACTGCCTTAGGCCTACCTACGGTTAGCAAGACCCCTAGGGCTTAACACTCCCACCCTACAGCAGGGGCAGGCAAGCATCAGAGGGTCACAGCATCATCCACCAAAGGCTTCATGGTCTTTTGCCTCCTGCAGGCCCAGTGGTTGAAGACATGGAGGCAGTTCAAGCAGCAGCAGTTTGGTGTGCTTGCAGCTTCAAGCCAGTGCTGCTCTGCTCCTGCGTGCACAGGATGATGTCGTGTCATGTAGCAGCATGGGTGAGGACATCAGCGGCTTGACGTCTAGCCTGGGCCCTTTGCCCCGACGTGATGCAAGGCCTGCTGCATTGAGCCTCAACAGGCCGCGGGACGAGTTCAAACCTTGCCCCGCTTCATCAGTCCTTTGAACGCAGAGCACAGTCCTGCTGCAGTCCTTTCGACACTGGTCGCAGTCTTGCAGCAGACCTTTCGAACACGGATCACAGTCTTGCAGCAGTCCTTTCAGAGTCGAGGAGCGTTAACGTTGCACGATCCCTCGCTGCTACGGCTGGACAAAGGCGCGCGCCCACCGTGCGTCCTGGTCCTGCCCTGCCTCGAAGGCGAGGTCGCACCCGGCCGCTACAAAAACAACTGTGCCAGCCCCCAATGTCAGCTCCTCACCCTGCTGCCACCGGAGCCTGACCTCACCCTCGAGGCCGAGCAGGATACTGGGACCCTGTACCGCTCCCTGCTCCTGCTTTCCACCGCGCGGGAGAGACGAGACGACGAGATCAAACTCGTCGATGGGGGGCGAAAAGAGCTTGGCCTCGCCGTCGCCGCCGTCGCGCTTGCACTTCCAGTCGGTGGCGTCGAGCATGCCGAGCGCCTTTCCGGACGTGTAGGTGCACATGTCGATGAGGGTGTCGACGTCGCGCAGCTTGGGCGTGAGGCCGGCGCGGACGACGTTGTCGCTGGCGGCCATGCACTCGAGGATCTCGCCCTCGAGGTAGGCATGCGGCTCGTTGGCCTGGAGGAACATGGCCTGCCCGGCCTCGAGGCGGTTGATGTTGAGGAGAAAGGTGCAGAAGATGCCGATGTCGTGCGGGTACTGCTCGTTGAGCTTGAGCAGCAGCGCCCGCTCCTCTTGCGGTACGCCCGCCGACGACGACGACGAGAAGCGACGCGAGGTGGCGTCGCAGAGCGCCTCGTACGTCGATGCTGGTGCGCGCATCAGGTTCGAGAAGATGGTGCGCAGCATCGACTTGACCGACGCAGACGATGCGTCCGCCTCGGACTGGATCAGATCGTGCAGCTCCTCGAGCTGCGACTGGCCGAGCGAGCAGAGCTGGGCGAACTCGGGCACCGTGTCGATGAAGCCGCCAATCTCGGCGAGCGGGCGGAAGCCGCAGAAGCCGGAAAAGGGCGTCAGGGCGATGGCCATCTCGGGCTTGTGGTTGGGGTCTGCGTGTGGGACGGGGGGCAAGAGGAGGGAGCAGAAGAAGCGGTGAGCATCGACGGCGGCGCGGCGGATCGAGATCCGGGATCGCTTCGAGGACACACACCCTTGTAGACGTCGGGTCTCTGCTGGTGGAGCCGCTTTCCGAGTTTCTTGTCCGGGTGGGCCTGGATCGAGAGGGCCTTTCCGACGCTGAGCACCTTGAAGAGGAAGGGAAGGCAGCCGGGCTCCTCGTCGCTGAACTTGCGCGCGACGGCATCGCCGATGAGGTCCGGGTGGGCCTCGAGGTGCGACGAGAGGGTGGGCGCCTCGTCCGAGCCTGCCGAAGACGACGACGACGACGCTGGCGAGACGAGGCGCGAGGGAAGCGAAGGGTGGGTTCCCATCCATAGCTGCGGGGCGGTGGTGCGAGGCAGCGCGTGGTCAGGACCGCGAGCCCCGGCGATGGGTTGGGTGCAGGATGGCACTGGCGGCGGCACTCACCTCTGCGCATGGCTTGTCGTCGCTGGGCTGGAAGTTGAGCTGGTGCGTAGCTAGGGCATACTGGGCGACGCGCGAGGTGGAACCCTTGATGCCCCAGTCGTAGCACTGGACGCCGGGGACGATCTGGAATACGGGTGCGGTGGAGTATTCGCTGGCCATGTTGCGGGCAGTCGCGGGTGACGAGGTGGAGGCCAAGGCGGAGACGGTGTGTGCTGATGTTGTGGTGGAAGGAAGGGAAGACGACGAGGACGAGGCGATGGGTCGAAGGTGGGCGTCTAGCTTTGCGAGTCTGGCAGAGGGGGGATGGGACATGGTGGGGCAGGGCGAGACAGGACAGGCCAGCGTAGGAGTTTGACGTTATCGATGTACGTATGACCCCTCGGCGAGAGTCGAGAGAGAGCGACGTGGGGAGCGAGGGCGAGAGGGCGAGGGCGGGGGCGAGGAACGGTGACTTCGCCGAGGCCAAGGGTCGGACGAACAGACGATGGAGCGAGAAGAAACGTGGCGGCCGCTGCGATGCGCTGCGCTGCGCTGCTCTGCTGGCTGCCCTTTGTGGAGGCTGAATGGCCGTCGATGGCACCCGGTGAGGACCCTCTGTCTGCCTTGGTTGACCGACCGGTGATCCCCCCTGCTGGCCTGGTCCTCCCTCGCACCCTTGTACGACACCGAACGACTCGGCGAAAACGTCGCACCACTGACCGCCATCGGAGTTTTGTCGTCCCCGAGCGCCGGGTCGCATGCGGCGAGAGGGCTGCCATCCCGATCATCGGCGACAGCTGGACCTTGGACGAGCTTCCCGATGGCCTTCCATTCGGCACCGCGCCGAGTCTCGCCATGCTGAGGTCTTCGCCCTTGCCTGTTTTTCGTTCGTAGATCGCCCCCTCTCTCTCTGATGCGGCAGCCAATCAAGAATATAACGACCTGGAGGCATGTCCACGCCGACACGACCGCCCCAGTCTCTGATCCACTTGCGGTTCTCGTTCGACTGTGCAAGGTCTTGTCGGCGACGCCATCATCCTGGCGGACACAGCAAAAAGAGGACGAGACGCTTGCGAAGCCGTCGTACGCGTAGCTTCGACGAGCGCCGCTGTCGCTGTCCTCGCCACCGGAGTCGGCTCACTCTCAGCAGCCCGTCGAAGCAGCTATCGGATCCGCCCCTGGCGAGCACCGTATCAGAATAATGTCCTTCGACATCGGCCTCCTCCGACGCCGGTCTGTACTGCCTGCCTGCCGTGGTGTCCGTCACGCGACGATACGCAATCGTCCACGGCAACCGCAGGTGCCGTCGCCACTGCACGGACTCGCCCTGCTGCGCTTCCCCACTCCTTTATCGTCGTTCCGTGTGTGAACAGAGACCAGGACCGGCCTGCTATTGCAGCGATAACGTCGCGGTGGCGGGGTACGGCCATCGGTCGAGGCGCCGAAATCGTCGAATTAAAGGCGGCGGACCGGCGCTGAGCACCTCGCTTATCGCTTCTTCTCGCTGTGTGTGTCTGTCGGTCCACAGTCTTCCGGCCGCCCTAGCCTGTGCCGTAAAGGCGCGAGCGGGCGATCCAACGGACCTTGCTTGCTTCCCTTCACCTCGGTCTCACCAGCCGCCGGCGGCATCAGCGGCTCTGCGCGGGGTACCGGTATCCCCGTAGCGGCGGCAGCGGCGGTGCGACGTCGGACCCCTCGGTACCCCTACCTCGACCGCGCGACGGCCGCTGTGCCCTCCTCTGCCTGCTCTCGATGTACACCCACCTTGCTTTTGCTTCGGCTCTCGCCTGTCTCAAGCTTCGGTCAGACCTGCCTACTGTACTGTAGCGTGATGCAGGCCATCCGACAACTTTAGGTCGACGACATCGGACCAAGTCGAGCCGACGACGACCGTTGCCCCAGGCCACTTCAGACCATGCGATCCCGTCGACCCTCCTCGCCCCCGGAGACGCCCGTCTGTGGTCAGCCGATCCCTCCGCACGGTGCAGCCGGTACTGTATGCCGCCTGCTCGTGCCTCGTGGTCGATCTTTGTGCGTCGTCGCCGCACTTAGCGAAGTCGTGTGCGACCTCTGCCCCAGCAGCGGAGCAGCCACAATCGCACGCTCGTGCCATGATCTCGCCCCTCCCCTCGGTCCGACGCTGGTCTGTTCCCATGGAAGCGAGGCCCTGCTGTTCTTCGTACGACGTAGCTAGAGCCTAGTCTACTTTGATGCCCTCATTCCCGTTGCCAGTCATATAAAGAGGCGAGGCGACCCACGCAAGCATCCCGCCACCGAGCTCCCCAACCCTCCCCTAGACCCCCCCCCCCCTTACCCATCCTCGCGCCTACGAGTAACGATGAAGGTGCTGGCCTCGACCCTCCTGCTGGCTTCGGCCGTGCTCGGCGCGTGCGCCCGCGGCGTCGAGCACGTCGGAAAGGCCTCTCTTGCCAACCGATACCGCGACATCCGCGAACGCGCCCTCGAGCACCACGAGCACAACCGCCTCGTCTCCCGCGCCCCGCACCAGACCAAGGCAAAGCACCTAAACAGCAAGACTAAGAGTGCGTGTCCCACGTGTGTGTGTGTGTGTGTGTGTGTGTGTGCCGACGTAGCGGCGACGTGCCCGCGCCTTCGTCCGATACGTCCCGAATCTCGCCGCAGCACCGATATGCTGACCGTTCCATTGCCCCCTGTCGTCGTCCGACCGCGTCGTATCTCGACGCCGTGCAGAGTTCGCCGTCGATGGTGCCAAGCTCCCCCTAGTCCCCTTTGACATTGGCGAGTCGTACGCCGGTCTCATGCCCATCTCGGAGAACAAGGATGAAGAGCGTCAACTGTACTTCTGGTACTTCCCCTCGAGCAACCCCGCCGCCACCGACGAAATCACCATCTGGCTCAACGGCGGACCTGGCTGCTCGTCGCTCGAGGGTATGCTCCAGGAGAACGGTCCCTTCCTCATGCAGTACGTTCTACTATCTCACGACGGTGTCCTACTCCGAATGAATGGCATTCGCACGCATGTGTCACTGACCGTCGACGACCATAATCCTTCGCCCACGATGCGCCCCGCAGATACGGAGCGGGCCCGCACGCCGTGCCGAACCCGTGGTCGTGGCAGAACCTGACGAACATCGTCTTCGTCGAGCAGCCCGTCGGCACCGGCTTCAGCCAGGGCACCCCGAACATCACTTCCGAGGCCGAGCTGGCCGAGCAATTCAAGGGTTTCTACAAGAACTTTGCCAAGACCTTCTCGCTGCAGAACAAGAAGATCTACATCACGGGAGAGTCGTACGCGGGCATGTACGTGCCGCACATTGCGAGCGCGATGCTCGACGAGGAGGACAAGGAGTTCTTCAACGTCGAGGGCACCATGATCTACGACCCGTCGATCAACACCGACGCCATCATGAACGACGTGCCGGCCATGGCGTTCCTCGAGTACTGGAAGCCGCTGTTTGGGCTCAACGACACGTTTGTCGAGGAGCTGCGCCAGATGGACAAGGAGTGCGGCTTCACGGCGTACCTCGAGGAGAACCTCGTCTACCCGCCCAAGGGCAAGCTGCCGGAGCCGCCCAAGAAGTCGGACAAGTGCGACCCGTTCAACAAGATCATCGACGCCGTCATGCTCGTCAACCCATGCTGGGATATCTACCAGATCGCCACCACCTGCCCGCTCCTTTGGGACGTGCTCGGCTTCCCCGGCTCGTTTGGCTACCTCCCCAACGGCGCCACCATCTACTTTGACCGCGACGACGTCAAGCGCGCCATCAACGCGCCCGTCAACTTCAAGTGGGAGGAGTGCTCGTCGGACAACGTCTTCAAGACAAAGTCCGGCCTCGACTCGGACGCCGAGGCGGGCCACTACAGCTCGTTTGACGTGCTCCCCTCGGTCATTGAGCGCAGCAACCGCACCGTCATCGCCCACGGAATGCTCGACTACGTCCTGCTCGTCAACGGCACCCTGCTCTCGGTGCAAAACATGACCTGGAACGGCGCCCAGGGCCTCAGCAAACCCGTCACCGAGGAATTTTTCGTGCCGTACCACGATGATCTTCAAACCGCCACCCTCGCCGGAGCTGGTGTCATGGGAACTTATCGCACCGAACGAGGCCTTTCAGTGATTACAGTAGCAGGCGCGGGCCATATGGTCCCCCAGTATACTCCCAGTGTTGCATACAGGCAGCTCGAGTTCCTCCTGGGACGCATCGACAACCTCGGGAGCAAGGAGCCCTTCACCAAGAGCGACAACGGACTGAAGGCGCTTCCCGAAGGCCCGCAGAAGCGGCTCGTCGTGGGCGACGCGGCCGTCGAGGCGCTGCTCGAGCAGAGGAGCTAGACCGTCACCCCGCCGTGGGTCGAGGACCACTCCATAGATCCAAAGTAGAACTGCTCGTCGGCCGTCGGCCGTCGTTCGGGACGCGTCCCGTATTTTTTTTCTCGGCTTCGGGCCGAACCGGCGCCGCGCGGGTGGAGGCGCGCTACGCCCACGCCCGCGTCTCGGTCCGGCCCTGCATCAGGCCAGATCCCGGCTACGCCGCACGTCATCCCTCCGGCGCCCGACGCCCAGCTGTCACGCCACCCGTCAATCGGGACGGACCGCGCACGCGGCTACGTCCCCAGCGTCCGTGCCTGTGCCTGTGCCTGTGCCTGACCCGCCCGCGCCTGACACGCCCGCGCCTGTGCCCCATCCATGCTGTTGCCTGTCCGTGCCAGTCGGTGCCCATCCACGACTCTCGCTGACCGTACCCATGCCCGTGCCTACGACGCCGCGAGCGTGACGAGATGAGGTGTTTGCCTGGTCAGGATGGGAGCATGGACCCGCTGCCTCTGGCCGAGAGGATGGCTGCCATGGTCTTCTCATCGAAGCCACCAGTCATTCCCGGAGCATAACGGATCGACGCTCTGAGGAACCCATGTCGTTGCTTTTCGACTACCGGACTTGCAGGTGTGACTCTAGCCTAAGTGAAGAGGGGCGACGCTCGTCTTGTTGCAAGAGTCTGGAAGCGATGGCCGAGGCAAAGGTTCTGATCCGTCTAGCACGCCGAGTCCCAGCAGTACTTGAGCCCGCCGCGGATCTCCTGGGGGCGTCCCTTTGTCACCAGCTTGCCTGTTGCGACGATGCGAGGGGGGGAGAAGAAGACGATGCGGAGCTCGTCAGCCATGTTGCCGTCCTCCTGCGGCTCAGCTGGCTCCAACGCCGCGCGGCCAACATCACGGCAGACTCACCTCTCCAGTAGAGCCTCCCCCACGCCTTTCCCTGGCGGCCTCCGTCCTTCAACCTGACCCCCGTGACCTGCCAGTAGCAGAGGTGTCCGCTCTCCTTTTGCGTGCCGACGGGCACCTTTTTCGGCAGGGCCTCCTGGATCGCCTTTCCCTGCTGCGTCTCGGCGAGCCAGTGTTCCCGCAGGTCCTGCTTTGCGGGGATGTCGAGGCCCTTGGCCATCCACCTTCGCTGCCGGACGCGGAAGCCGACTCCGTTGTTGGGTAGCGTCGAGAGGTGCTGGTACAGGTTCTTGTGCGGCGCCTTCTGCCGTGCCACGAGAGACGGGAGCGAGTCGGGCGAGATGTGCGACGTCAATGTGCTCAGCATCTCGTTGTACGTCGACGACGGTGGAGACACCTTGGGGACAGAGGCGGTGCTGAGGGCGCGCGTGGTCGAGGTCGAGGACGACGACGAGGCGACGCCAGAGGCCTGCTTGAGCAGGGTCAGCGTGCGGCGCAACATGGCGAGCGGCGCTGCAGGTGAGGTCTGCGTCGGGCCGAGTCGAGTGATGCGCGAGGCGTTCGGGGGGTCTTGAGAAGATGTGCGAGAAGTGGATTGCAGTTCGGCGTTCGGCGCGCGGCGCGATGGAAGGACGATGGCGGTGCAGCGGCTGCGATGGCTAGGAATGGCGACGTGATGGTGGTTACCAGAAGAAAGCGCCGGCGGCCACTTGCGCACAGCACGAAAATTCCCAGCCCGCGCGAGCCAGGCCAGCTCCGGGCTCGAGCGGTCCGCATCTTTGTCGGCCGGAAGAGGGCGGGCGGGTAGACACGCACACACCCGCCGACCTCCTCGACTCACACACGAGCTCTCGCTGCCCGAGATGGCACCGCATCGAATCGTTCCTTATCATTACATTCCAGAAGGCGTCGTGATGTAGGGAGATGGCGAGGGTCGGCCAGAGTCGGGCCGCCCGCAAGGATACTTAGTAAAACGAGCCGTACGCTCCGCCGCCGCCGTAGTTGCCTCTGGGTGCGGCGCCCCGGCCGGCCGCGCCACCTCCTCGCCCACCACGCGGGGCCGGTCCTCCACCTCTGGGCGCACCGCCATAGGCAGGGTAGGCACCGCCGTAGCCGCCGTAGCTGCCGGCCGCGGGGCCAGTGGGCGGAGCTGCACCGTAGCCGCCGCCGTACCCGCCATAGGGCGCAGCCGGTGCGGCTGGAGGCGGGTAGCCGCCGTAGGCGCCCTGACCGTACGCTCCCCCGCCACGGGATCCATAAGACTGACCGTAGCCGGCCTGTCGGGGCCAGGTCGGAACGTGCAGAGCAGAGAAAGGGTCGTCGTCAGCGGGAGTGCTCATCGGCTGCAGAGCCGGGGCGAGGTCAAAGGCCTGGAAACTCACGTAAGGATCCTGCGCCGCACCGTAGCCGCCGTAGCCTCCTGCCGCTGGGCCGGGCGCAGCAGCAGCCTGACCGTAGCCTCCATAGCCGCCGTACCCACCGCCGCCGTATCCGCCAGCCGCACCTCCGCCTCCGCTGCCGTAGCCGCCGTAGCCACCGTAGCCACCGCCGATGCCGCCGCTGCCAAAGGCCGCTCCACCGCCAGAGCCCTGTCCTCCGTAGCCGCCGTATCCTCCACCATAGCCGCCGTAGCCTCCACCACCGGCCCCCGCTGCTGCGCCGCCGCCACCGTAGCCTCCGTACCCGCCATAGCCTCCACCTGCGGCTCCGGCTCCATGCGACGGCCCGTTGCCAAGGCGCATCGAAGAACCGCCGTACCCGTCGGCGGGGGCGCCTCCGTAGGCACCGCCGTCTCGCCCGTTTGCGAGATGAGGCGGAGGCCCGCGGCCGCCCGATCCGCCACCTCGACCGCCCGGTCCTCCGCCTCGGCCTCGTCCGCGGCCGCGCTGGTTCGGCCCGCCTCGCTTGACCCAGTCAATGTCGCTGTGGGTCAGCACAGGCTTGGGAGGGCGCGCGCCCTTGAGCAGCACGCTGCGGTGCGGCTTGGTCTGCGGCGGAAAGTCGTAGAGCACCGAAATCGAGCGATCGTTGAGGATGTCGTGCAGGTCCTGGCTGGTCAGCGGCGAGTTGAACGTCGAGCCAGGGACGCACACCGGGTCGGGCCGGATGGTGCCCGTGATGCCGCCCGAGAGCTTGGGGTCGAGCTGCACCGGCTCCGTGGAGCCGCCCTTGGCGTAGAGGGCGCAGAAAAAGTCGTACAGCTTCGACTCCTCGCTGACAAAGTATGTATTGTGCCCAAAGGCGTTACGGCGCACCTCGTCCTCGCTGAGGTGCGGGTAGCGGTCCTTGAGCGCGGCCAGCAGCCGGCGCTCGTCGATGAACGGCAGCAGCGCCACGCCCTGCCACACCATCTTTTTGCCATTCATGTCGATCTCAAACTCCTCGGGGTAGTAGTCGATGATCTCCGAGTCCTGCTCCGTCATGAGCGGGCGGAAGGCGTGCGGGATCGAGGCGCGCGAGGCGGCCGGCAGCACGCCCATCAGCTGCTCAAACGGCTTGAACGGCTGTCCGAGCTCAAACTTGATGTCGAGCTTGTCCAGGTCGGTAAAGTCGGCGGCGAAGGGCGAAAAGTGGTAGGGATAGTACCACTGCCACGACGGCACGCCCTGGTAGTAGTAGGCCAGCACCCAGCAGAGGCCCTCGGTGTACGACTTGACAATGTCGCGCCGCGTCTCGACATCGTCGAGGCTGATGTGGAACTTGTCCTTGTAGTACCGCTCGCGGTAGCCGGGCTCCCACAGCTTGACCGAGTCCTCGTAGGTGACGGTGCCGTCGGCGTTGACCTGCAGCTTCTTCGACGTCGTGCTGACGGGGTCGATGTCCTCGTTGTCGTCGTCGTCGTCGTCGCCGAGATCGTCCTCCTCATCCGCGTCGGCATCCGCGTCGGCGTCGGCGTCGGCGTCGGCTTCAGCTTCAGCTTCGGCTTCAGCACTGGCTTCGGCTCCGGTTTGGGCCCCCTTGCCCGCGTCAGCCTCGGGAGCATGACCGTTGCCGGCGGGTGCGTCGTCGTCGGCCTTGCGCTTCTTGCCAGCCGGCGATTCGGTCTGCGTGCCCTCGACGTCATCGGCGGCCGTCGCGGATCCGTTGGCGGGCTGCTCGCCCTCGACGGCGACAGCGACGGCCTCCTGCTCGTCGACCTTGCGCTTCTTGGCCGACGGCTCGTCGCTCGTCGGCTCGGCGGCGGTGGCGCCACCGGCCAGCTCGGCCCGCAGCGCCTCGGCGGCATCCCTGTTGGCCTGCCTGGTGGCGTTGCGGTTGCGGACCACCTCGTTGTTGTCGCCGCCGAGGACGACGAGTTTCTTGCGCGTGTCGTACGACTTGTTGCCGGCGTTGGCCAGCTGCTGCGCCTCCTCTTTGGACATGCCGTTAAAGGCCGGCTTCTCGGCCTCGGCGGCGTTCTTGGCCTTTTTGGCGGCCTGGACCTCGACGTACTCGGTGTCGCCGTGCTTGAAGCCGCCGCCAGCTCCGCCGCGTCCGCCCTTTCCGCCGTTCTTGCGGCGGGCGTCGTCCTCCTCGCGCCGCTTGCGGCTGGCGTCCTGGCGCTCCTCGATCTCCTTGCGCTTGCGGAAGATCTCGTCCTCCTCCTCGGCGAGGCCGGCGAGGATGAGCTGGGCGTGCGCCAGCTCGACAGAGCCGTGCTTGGTCAGGTAGCCGCCCATCTGCGGCAGCGCCTTGCGCCAGATCTTGAGCAGCGTGTCGATGGCGCCTTCGCGCAGCTCGAGCGACGGCAGGTGCGGCAGGAAGTCGTTGCCGACGAAAAAGATGAGGAAGACCCAGTCGTCGATGGCGCGCTCGAGGTCAAAGGCGAAGGGCAGGTCCGAGTAGTTGAGCTCGACGGCCAGGTACTCGCGCAGCACCGAGACGTCGAGGAAGACGAACGGCTTCTTTTCGACGGGCGCGTTGGGGTCGCGCTCGGGCTTCTCGCCCTTGCAGTCGCGCGCAAAGTGGCCCTTTTGGTTGCAGATGCGGCAGACGTCCTTCTGGGCGTCCTGGAATACGTCCTCGCGCAGCACCTTGAAGTGGGGCTCGTGGGTGGCGAGGGCGAGCATGATGAGGTCGGCGTCGAGGCCGTAGATGACGTGCTTGGTGTTGGGGTCGTGCGAGGGCTGGCAGCGCTGCCGGCGGATGTGCTCCATGATCTTGTGCTCGCCCTCTCCGGGCACGCTGGCGTCCGAGATGATGACTTGCAGGTTCTTCCAGCCCGGGTCGCTGTTGAGCTTCTGGGCGACCCAGTAGCGCAGTGAGGCGGCCAGCAGGTCCATAAAGGGCGTACCGGGCGTGATGGCGTTCGAGTCCCATGCCTTTTTGATCTGCATGGCCTCGTCGGTGACGGGCAGGCCCTTGGCCTTCCACTCGGCCAGCGCCGCCTCCTTGTCCTGCATCGCCTCCTTGGCGTCGCGCGCCGAGCGGAAACGGCGCGAGCGCTGCTGGTTCATCTTGGCTCGCGGCGCAACGCCGTCGATGGCCATGATGAGCATCTTGCGCGGCCGGATCATGTTGACCACCCGCTCCGTGTACTTGAACACCTCGATCATCATCTCCTCCTCGGTCTCGGGCGGCGGCCGCCCCTCGGGCCGCGTACATGGATGCACGATGCCGTTCATGTCGAGATATAGGCAGTCGTACTCTTCGCCGTTGGGGTTAGGGCCGGCCATGTTGATGGGCAGCTCCTGCTCAGTGCCATCCTCGCCGGGCACCGTGCGCGGCTGCTCCTCCTGCACCGGGCTGATGATCTTGGGGTACTTGGACGAGAGCCATCGGAAGAGGGCGGGAACACCCATGATGGCAAAGTGGCAGAGTGGCGGAGTGGCGGAGTGGCGAGCTAGGCAATTAGGCAGTGGCAGTAGGGCGTCAGCGGTAGACTGGAGCTACGCAGTAGGTAGGCAGGTTGGCGGTCGTCGGAAGGGTCGGGCGATGTGACTGCGGTCGGACGCGGCGGGCGGCGAGCTCTATGTGCGGTGCGGTGCCGAGAGGACTGTCAACGTCACAGCCGGTCGACGGTCGAAAGGTGTGGTGGCGCTGACACTAGTGTTCGAGGGTTTTCTGGGCCGGCCGGTCTCGACGGAGTGTAGAGCGACGGCGTTGCAGTCGGTACGTCTGTGGACAGGGGGCGAGGGAGGTGGAACGTCTCCCGCTACAAGCCCTTTTCTTGACCTGGGAAGGTCGTCTATCGGAGCAATGAGCTGCCGGGGATGACAGGCTACGCAGCCCGTGGCCCAGACGCGAGGTGGTCGAGGCAGAGATGTCGAGGCACACACAGCCAAGTGGTGCCGCTCGTTGTCGTCGATTCAGAGGCGATGCGGACTGTATCACTCGGAAGGAGACGCGACCGTCGAAGTCGAGAGGATGCGGGATGGAACGGCGGTCAGAGACGGACAGGGACGAGGGGCCTCGATGGGTGGGGTCGATGGAGGTGGGACGCCACGCCCGGCGCGCCAGCGTGTGGCGAAGGAAAAGGAAACTTCGGCTCAGCGCGGCAAAGAGTCGTCTTCCGGGTCAGCATTCTCAGACGAATGCTTTCTTGTATGCAACATTTTCGGGGTTTGACATCAAATGGGGGTTTAGCTCAGTTGGCAGAGCGTTCGCTTAGCATGGCCAATTGTGGTGTATGATCTGCGAAAGGTCGCGTGTTCGACTCATGCAGTCTCCATCCTCAATTCTTTTGTCTTTTTGGCGGCATCAGGTCGGACCCGAACGGCCTGGCCTGGCCTGGAGGCGCCATTGACTTTTTGCTGGCTACGAACGGTGGCACCTGCTCGAGGGGCTCGCCATGCCAAGCTATGGACTCGCGTATGATTAGACCAAGATGGAAGGTGCAGAGAACGTCGTGTAGCGACGCAGTCGCTGAGGGGGAAAAGGGGAAAGGGTACAGAGAGAACCCAGCGGGCGGTCAAAAACGAGAGAAAATTGCCAGCGAAAAGGATGGATGCGCTGCGAGGCGGCCGAGCACCAAAAAGAATCGCAAAAGAAGAGGATGGAGACTGCATGAGTCGAACACGCGACCTTTCGCAGATCATACACCACAATTGGCCATGCTAAGCGAACGCTCTGCCAACTGAGCTAAACCCCCATTTGATGTCAAACCCCGAAAATGTTGCGTACATATTCTATAGAACATCAACAACGACAACGCAGGGGCCCCCTTTCCGAGGGGGTCGACCCTTGTGCCGCTGTCGGCACTCCACTTTGGTGCGCCACCACGACCTGGCTTGCTCTTTCGATCCATCTACCTTCGCCGCCGCCTTCGCACACACCATCGCGAGAACCTCTCAACGTCCGCCCCTCGCCATCGGCTCCCACCACTTCCACACGCGCCCGCTGCAAAGATGTCGGCCATGCGACCCGTCGTGGGGACACCCCTCGGTACGTACCCCGCCTCTGTCTCCCTCATCCTCGTCGTGCCTCGCCTTGCCTTTCATCACCTCTAACACCACCCTCCTTCCTCCTTCTATCTAACATCTGAACTTGGACGGGGTGGGGCAGCGTCATGCTGTACGGTGATCTCGGTGTTCGGAGCGGTGATCCTGTCGATTTTCGGGTGGGGCTTTTCGCACAACTGGCCCGCGCTCATGGGCTCGACCGAGGATCCCGAGGACGGCAGCGCCGTCGGCAACGTGTGCTACGTCGCGGCGCTCGTCTACCTCGGCCTCATCGCCTTCTGCACATGCCAGGTCGGCGTCAACAAGCGGTACGCTAGGATCAGCCTCTAGATCCGCGTCGCTCCGTCGGGTGAGTCCGCAGGCGTCGAGTCCGCCCATCACCCGGATGTCGTCCGCTCAGGCTCCCTTCTTACCCCCTTCTCCCTCCCTTCCCCTCTTTCCTGCGCCGGGTATGCGAGCAGGAATCGGCCTGTATCTCCTCGAACCGGGCATCATACCCGCTCCTCGTGCATGACCTGCCCGACCTTGTCCACGCAATCGTTTCACACGCGCCTCGTACCATCCTCGTGCCTTTCCTCGGCCCTCGTCTGTCTGTGCACGTCGGGCTCGGTCGCACAGCAGGGTCAAGAAAGCTTGCGAGGTCAAAGAGGCATGCAGAGCAACTGCGAGATGGGTCTACAGAGGCAGGGAGATGCAAGGGTCTAGGACGGGCGGTTGCAGTCGATGTCGGGACGGGCGTGACGACGGAGGGAAAACTTCGGAGCGAGGCATCTGGGAAAGCGAGTGGGGGCTTATCTAGGCAAGGTAGGCGGCCAGCATCTGGACGACGGCCAGATGCCAGGGCAGCTCCGACCAGGGACGCGGGATCTGGTGCCGGGAGCGGGTGACAATCTCGAGGTCGTGGAAGCTCTGCGTGACGTCGCGCAGCCGCTGATCCAGGCTAGGACCTGGGTCGTCGACGGCATCCTTGCCCACGCCGCCCGCGCCGAAAGACGACGCTGGCTGTTCCCGGTCCCGGTCTGGATTCGAGGTCGAGCGGCTGCGGTAGACCTGCAGCAGATGTACGCATTGGACGGTCGGAAGGGCGTTGGCAGCCGCTTGATCATCCTGCTCGTCGTCGGCGTCAGATGCTCCGCCATCCCACATTGGCAGGCCAAAAGGCCCTCTGCGGGAACAGTGGACGAGCAGGGAGGTCCGCAGCGCTAGCATCTCGCCGTGCCGGTGCCCGCGTTCACCGCGGCCTGCGTTCACCATGAGGCGCGGACGCGGGTAGACGGCGTAGCAGAGCGACGACACATCGTGCAGGACGCCCTGCTGCTGCTGCTGCGAGGTCGCGTTCGCGACGGCGGCGCCGGACCACTTGGTGCTCGGAGGCGGCGCCGTCGCTGTCGGCACGAGAATGGGCGCCGAATCGGCATCGAGGCAGGCGATCGTCACGTCCTTGATGTGGGCGTCCGTGCCGCCGAGGCCCTCGGCCGTCGCGCGTCCCTGCTCGGCGAGGTCGGACCACGCGCGCGCCTCTTCGACGCTCATCCCGCCGGATCGGCAGATGACGATCCGCCAAGCGACGTTGGCCCGTCGAGCCCGCTGCAGGGCGTAGCGCCACACCGCCGAGAGCGCAGCCTTGAGGTCCGCCGAGGACTCCTTGCACACGCGCACGTCGTGTGCTTGAGCGCGCTCGTCGATGCTCGAGAGGAAGACGAGCCCAGCGGCGCCAGCGCCCTGTTCGCGGTAGGCTTCGCCGGCGTCCGCCGGCAGTTGCCCATCGGCCCTCGCAGCGGCGCCATCGCAAAACGCCGATGCGGGCGGCCGGAGGTCGTAGGCGATATGGAGCAAGAGGCCATCCTCGAGCATGCTCAGCGAGGGCTGCAGCCACTGCTGCTCGAAGCGGCCAAGACGGGGAATGCGGTCGCCGCCGCGCTCGACGCCGGTCGGGACGATCGAGAATGACGGATACTGGACCAGCGCCGCGTGTAGCGTGGCCTGCTCTGGATGCAGCAGCTTTGGCACTCGACGCTGGACCACTCTCTGCAGCTGGTCGTAGAGCGAAAAGACAAAGGCACGCATGCCATCGCCAACCCTGCCTAGTCCGACGCAGCCGCTCTCAGAGATCGTTTCTGGCGAGACGGGCCGGACGATGAAGCGACCCGACGCCTCGCCGACGAGGTCCTGCAGCATCGAGCGCAGCTCGTGGTCCAGCCGGACCAGGCCGCGGAAGCCCGAGCGCCGGCACGCTTCCGAGTCGGCGCCCTGGACGGCGTACAGGACGACGTGCTTGCCCTGTTTGAGGTGCGACTGCACCCGACCTGCAATCGACCCGATCGTGTCGAGCCAGGTCTCGCGGGGCAGCGCGTCCAGGCAGCTGGCGAGCCCGACGTCGAGCCCGTCGCCTAGCGTCAGCAGCGCCTCGGCAGCGGCGGTGTGCGAGCCCAGTCCAAAGGCCTCAAAGGCGCGGCTGACCTGCTCGAGCCAGGCGTGCACCTGCTCCTGCCCCTCGTGCGATCTGGGCAGCTGCAGCACCTTGACGACGCAGTCCTTTCGTCCACCGACCGCCTCGAGGTTAAGCTTGTCCCAGAATGGCAGCGACGTCGGCGCCATCTGCAGGACGGAGCCCTGCGCGCCGACTGCGATCCTCGCTGGATCCAGAGGCCGGATAGACGGAGCGACGGCGGCATCGTGGGCGGCGCCGGTCGCAGGGACAGACTCCTTGGCGTCGCCATCGCCGAGCTCATGTGGGACGATCGAGGACGTGTTCCTGCCGAGCAGAGCCTGCAGCCGAGGGCCAGCCGGAAGATGGCGATCATCGACCTGTCTGCCTCCGTCGGCGTCACCGGTCGCTGTTACGACGAGGGACGCAAAGGTAGCCAGAAGGTCGAGCACGTCGCTCGAAGCGATTGCGGGGCGTGGCCGAAGGAGACCACCCGAGAAAGTGGCCTCTCTTGACTTCCGGTCGTGGCCATCAGCGCAAATGGACCGGAAGGACGGATTCTCGACGAGCCAGGTGGCCAAGGTGGTCAGCCACCCGGCGGACAGGCGGCGCCAGCTTGAGACCTTTTCCACAACGACTCCGTGGCTCGCGCGATCGAGTCCTTCCCGTGTTGAGCATACCCCGAAGTGGCCGGGTCGATGCAGGTCGTTACAGGCCGAGACGCGCTGCAGGAGCTGCAGATGATGGGCATCCCGCTGCGGTGCCGTTGCATCCTCGTCCGTGCCGCTGCTGCTATCGTCGTCGTCGTCTTCCTCTTCATCGTCGTCATCGTCATCATCCGAGCTCGAGTTGCTCTCGCTCTGGTGAGCTGCACGATACGCCCTCTCGTCGAAGGCGCCCCTGTCCGCAACCTGTCCGGCGCCCTCTCGATCGCGGCGGGCACCGGATACAAATGGCATCTTGAAACGGCTGATGCGAAGCTGGCGGATCTCCTCCCTCGAGCGCATCTGCTTCGAGCCGTCTGCCAGGTGTGCGGGGCCCGAGGCGATCCGCTTGGATGGTGATGAGGACGACATTGGGTCGTCCACCCATGCAGAAGCCTGTTGGTCGCGAGAAGTGGGCGCATGCGCGGTGCCAGCAGCAGACACGCTCGAGGAGACGCTTCTGTGGGTGCTGATGCGGGGCCTCTCCGTCGTCGGCCTCCCACCGCTGCTGCTGCCGCCGCCGCTGGTAAGCCAGGTGCCGAACTTGCCCAGTTGACCATACTTGTGCGAGAGGTCCGGCGGATACTGGCCGCCTCGCTGCAGGTTGAGGCGACGCCGCTGCTCCCTCTGCTGGGCAAGGGGAAGGAAGGCGATCGGAACCAGAGGGGGCGCCTTGGACACGTGCTCGAACTCTGCGGCGGTCCCATGTACGCTTTGCGGATTGGCCGGGGGCGATGCGTACTCGAACGGCGCTCGAGGCGGGTCCTGGTACGTCGGCCGATCGGAGAGCGCGCCGAGCGCCGCGTTGCCGTCGCGGTAGAGGTGGTGCACACCCGATGCGCCTTCCACTGCGATGACAGATGGATGCAGCTCCTCGTTGGGCGAGAAGGGCGTCCGCGGCGTCTTGGCCATGTTGGTGCCGAACGCTGGGGAGCTCGACGTCAGCGAGCACGGCGTGAAGCCCGGCAGTGATGGGATATCGGTAACGGAGCCCATGCTCGAGCCGTCTCTCGGCGTGTCGTGTGCAACCGCAGGCTCGTGGTGCGTCCGGACGATGTCGATGGCGGTGGATGGGGCCGCCGCCGCCGGTGCTGCGGTCGAAGGCGGCGGAGGGGGAGGGAGGCCTTGCTCATTCGAGACCGGCAGAGCAGCACTGTGATGCTTATCGGTCGCATCTTGGCCATCGTTTCGTTCGACCGACAGGGTCGACGGGTGCAGCGGCAGAGACGCCTCATGTCTGTCCACCCCCAAGGGCGCGCGCATCACTGCCGCGCTCGTGCCTTGAGCCTCTGGTAGCAGCGACAACGAGCCCGGTGACGGGTCGTTTGGTGGGTGGGCGACCTGCGAGGCGGGCGCTTCGCGCGCAGAGACGGGTGGCGGCGCGGACGCTTCTGGTGGCGCTGGTGGCGCCAGAAACGCCTCAAGACTGCCGCTGTCAAGGTTGTCGAGGCCGCTGATGTCCATATCGATGAGGCCGGTCGGATCCGATGCAAGCTCGGCCTCCTCGCCCGATGCCGTCTCGTGGACCTCGCGCAGTGCGTCCACGGTTGGCGGGAAACTGGCCTCGATCTCTTTGAAGCCTGACCCGAGGTCAAAGGCGCCCTCGTCGAAGAAGGAGAAGTCATCCTCGGTCACCAGGCCGAAGCTGTCGAACATGTCGCCCTCACCCGCCGGGCGCCTCTGGCCCTGTGCTTCCCCTTCGAGAGCGGCGACAGCTTCCATGCTCTGTCGGCGCGACGTGCCGACGTGGCTCCCCGGGTTCGACTGCCCGGCTCCCGCAAACATCGACCACTGAAACGGCGAGGGTCCTGCCGAGCCGCTGACGTGAGGCGGCCCCTTCGAGGCCGGAAGATCGAGCGCCATATCGTATGCCTGAGGCGTCCTCGTCCCCGCGGGTCTGGGACCCGTTGCGCTTTCGATCGTCGAGCTGTTTGAGGAGGTTTGGCGGATCGGATGGTCAGACCGCGGACGTTGCGAAGAGGTCGTAGGATCAGCGGCCATCTCCATTGAAGTTTGCTCGGCACCCGCCTTGACGAGCGGCTTCGGGTCATCGCCGCTGCTGTCGTCGAGGACGGCATCTTCGGGGATGGCCTCGTCTGCGACGACGAGGGCCGGCGAGGCCGTTGATAACGCCGTGTCTGGCAGCAGAGTTTCGCTGGTCTCAGGAAGGTTGTCTTCGTCGATGCCGTTGAATTCGAGGTCCGTTTGGGGCTCGCGGGGCATCGGGGCTGCGCTGAGGGCTTGGAGCATCTCGAGCGTGATGCGGGAGACCTCGTGTACGGGCATCGAAGGGCCAAAAGCACGCCTACGTCCGGGTTGCCCGCTCGGCCCACGACCGTCTGGACCTGAATCCACGTCGGCCGCTGAGGGCTGGCCAACGAGGCATAGCGGCGCTGGCCAGAGAAAGGTCGCGTCGTCAGGAACGGCACCAGATTGAGCTGCTTGTCGATCCCCTCCGGCAGCTGGCGTCGCGTGAGGCGCGCAGACGACCCAGTCAGGCTGGAAGACCGCCGAACGGTCGACACCGCTCGCTTTCAGTGCGTCAAAGAGCGATTCCGCGGCCATGGCCAGACCGCAGCGGCCCACCGCATCCGCTCCGTCGGCGCGCGTGGATATCCCAGCCGACTCGTGGCCGAAGGGCAATTTGATCCGCTGCCGCAGCGTGCTTGAACGGCCGCTTGGGAGCAGTACGACGTGCGTGTGGCCTGCGCCGTCGTCCGTAGGCCGCAAGGGCCGGAGCTGTCTCCTGGCCGGGTGCATCTCGATGACCAAGTCAGATGCGGCGGTATACGCTTTGAAGCGCAAAAGGAGCGAGCCAGCGTCGTGCTGATCGCTGACATCCGAGGCGGTCGTCACGTTGCTGTCGTCAAAGCCGAACTGAACGCGCCTGCCCAGGCACGCAGGCGATGGCAGCATGACCACATCGTCGCCGAGCCTGATTGCGCGTCTTCGTCGAGGTCCAAGATCTGCGACGGGATTGATGGACGGGCCGAGAGCACCTGCGTACCCGTTGGAACTCGGCTTCGCCTTGTCGCGAGCGGCGAGACCTTCCCGGCATACTTTCGCCGGCTCAGCGATCCGTGTCGAGGCAGAGGGCTGCCGGTGCCTGGCGGTGGCCGGCGCGCCTTGAGGCGCCTTTGTCGGCGATGGCGAGGCCACCAGGTCGCTTTGGACCGAGTCATCTAAATTTTGCCGCTCCTCTTCTGCTGCCCGGGCATCGGCGCCCGCACCTTCGTCTGCATCTGAGGGATGGCCGACTCCGAGGTCGGCGGCGCGGTCGCCCTCGTCGTCCTGGTCCGCGCCGTGGTCGATCTCGTCAGACCTCTGCAGGACGAATAGGTCGGCCAGCTTGTCCTCGAGGGCATGCAGCAGCATGCGATGGGCCCGGCCCGTATTGACTTCAGGCAAGAGCGAAGAGGCCTCGGGCGTGGCTGGCTGGTCTGAAGCGTTACGGCTCTCTTTCTGCGGTGTGCGGTAGGCGCTAGCGAGCGGGTATGTTCCACTTTCCGCAGCAGTCAGGGCTGTTGACGGGATGGCGTCGGCGACATGTGCGGCGTCAGCAAACGACTCGGCGCCGTGGTCGAAGGCCGACAGGTGGTGAGCGCGCGTCTCGCTCGGCAACCGACTCACCTTCGAGGCTTGCGGAAACTTGGCGCTTGAGGTCGTCGTCCCCCTCGATGAAGGACATCGAACCATTCCCTGGAAGTGGATTGTGCAAAGAGACGCTCGGAACCACGCTGGCAGGATTCACTCCGTGGCTCCTGAGAGCCCTGGGCTCCGGATCCACGTTGGCCATCAGCTCCAACGTTGGACCAGAGGGGTGATTGCTGTGGGTCGACGTGGATGCCGCCGCCGTTGGCAGCCCTACGTCGTACAGCCACAGAGAGGCTTCGCCGGTGCAAGAAGAGGAAGCATGTTGGACAAATTCGTGCGGGTCCGCTGTGCAGGCTGATGGCTGGTCGCCAGTGCCCGAGTGGCCATCGCAGCTCCGTTCGACGGCGTAGAGCGTGCCGGAGAGCAGCTCGTCAGACGCTGCAGGCGTCGATGCGCCCTCCGAGCCATCCTCAGACGGGCGAAACCGCTGCTGCTGACGTCTTCTGCGACGCTGTTGGTCCAGGCTCGCCCGCCTTTCTTGTGCCGCTAGCCGGCTCAACGCGGCCAGGGCGTGGCTCCACGCCGCCTCGGCATCGTCACTAGGTTCATGTCGGACCCTGCAGTCTTCGGAGATGCTGAATGCAGGAGGCAGAGGAAGCGGAGGAGGCCGTGTGCCGGCGGGAGCCTGACTGGCATCGGAAGTTCCGGCGCCAGAGGCTTGCGGCTGCGCCCTTTGTTTGCCCTTGTAGAAGCGACGCCAGCTCACGACCGCGCCTTCCGGCAGCGGCAGGCAGCTGATGGAGGCCGGCGTCGCTCCGTCGACGAGCACGCCGTACGGAACCTGCCTGGCTCGGTTCTGGTTGGTGCTGTGGTGCGGCGTGCCACGCAGCCCTGCAGCGGAGCCGGCGTGAGAGCCGGTCGGCAAGCTTCCGAGCGGCTTGTTGAGCGGGTTGGACGATGCGGCGGCGGTGCCACCCACACCGCTAGCGAACCCGGGCCGCCGCGAGCCCGAAGGACTGCCCCGAAGCTGAGGCTGCGAACTGGCCGCAGCCCACATATCGGCACAGAGACGGCCTGCAACGCCGAAAGCGTTTCAGAGCCGGCTCGCGATCCGATGGCGAGGGCGGGGCGTGCCGGGGGCGTCCGAGCGCCAGCCAGTTGGGCCGGACGATGTCGCAAGTTGAGCGGGTCGGGTAGGGATGCGATGTTCTGGCAGTCTAGAAGTGGACGGAAGAGCGAAAGGGGTGCGGAGCCATCCTGAACGAGGAGCGAGGAGCGAGGATCGAGGCCGGGAGCGAGCTCCGCTGTGGGGTCGACAGAGCAGCTCGACGTTTGGCGGAGCGACGACAGAGCTCGAGCAGCGGCGACGGGCGGGAATGACGCCGACAAGAGTCGGGGTCGGAGGGTGCCGCAGCGAGCGTGCTGCAGTGCCTTTAAAGCAGGGGCGGAATCAGCGGCGGTAGGTCTAGAGCAGAGCGAAGCTCAAGGTCGGTGGCGCGGCTGGATCGAGCCAGCCAACACAGGCTTTGCCGGCAAGGTGATGGTGCAGGTCGAGCCGGAGAGAAACACCCAGGAAGTGATGGCAAAGGGCGGATCAGAGCGAATCCAGTCGGTCGAGGCCAGGCGGAGGCAAACGCTCCGTCGCCGATCCTTCAGGCGTTCGTTGTCCTGAGTCCTTGGGCGAGGCGAGGGGTTCGCGAGGAGACGGACAGCAGAGGGCGATGCAGTGGCGAGGCGGTGCGTGAAGGAGGAAGCGGTGGACGGCCACAAAGAAGGGTACAGCAGTAGTGGCAAGCAAGACGCCGCGTTGTCCGCGTCTGGGGCAAGAGAGGCCGGCCGGGGCGGCGAAGATGATGGCAACGGGACGGCGTGGTGGAGGGCACAGGCCAGCTCCGCTCCGCCCCAGGCCACCCACCGTACGGCTGCCCCCTCTTTGGGCTGGCCCCCCGCCCCCGAGCGGTCAGGCGGGCCCTTCCTCGTTCCAGCGGCGCAAACCTGCCAGCGGCATTGGGACACAGCTAAGCGTCGCATCCCTGCTGCTCGACGATATCAGAGACGGCTGTCATGCTTCACAACACCCCAGCGGCGGCGGCGGCACCATCCTGCTGCCAAGCGGGGCTGGACGAGGAAGGGCCGGACCAACCGCAAAAGGCTCGGAGGGGAGCGAGAGAGGAGGGAAAGGGTGTAGTGTCTCCGAGTCCCGAGACTGCCGTGGCTCGATTGCCGCACTCCCCGCCTTGGCCGGCCTGGCTGGTCTCGGGCATCTTCCCTGCCACCACGCCATCCTACCTGGCTACGGAGCCAGGGCGGCCCTGTGGGTCAGACTCGATGCTGCCAGCGCCACGTAGGTCCAAAGGCGCGCCACGACGACGGACGGGCCGAGGCATGGAAAGCACGATCTGTCGGCGCATTGATGCCGTGATTGGGCCCTCGCGCTGAATTCGATCAGCAGAACCGGGCCACGAAGCGTACGTGTCCTCTCGGCGCTGCACGTCGTCACCACGAAGCAAGCAAAGGCCAAAGAGGACGCCTGGACATGATGGTCTGGTCTGGTCCGGCCAAGCCTGCCCTGGCTCACGGCGGCCCCCGACGCGGGGCCACCGGATCGCACGCCCGCCAGCATGATGCGCACTCGGAGGCTCCGTTGGAGGCTGGCTGGCCTACGTGCTGGTGGGCAGGCACCAGGCGTCGCCGGCATGCTGGCAACACCAGCGACCGAGCGTAGTCTGGCAGCTCGGCGGCGAGTCACAAGGTCGAGCAGGCAAAGAGGAACCGGGCGCCACCGAGGTCCACCGTGGCGTCGCCCACGGCGCGCCGAGATCCGGGACGGGCTTCCGAAGTGACCCACGACGCAGGGTGCAGGGCCAAGCTCGTACCGGTGCGGTGTGTAGCAGGCAGGCTGGCCTAGCCTGGCCGGGCAGGGTCAGGGCCAGGGTGGAAGGTGGCAGAAGCCAAGAGGTGACACTCCGGCGTCGGCCGGCAGTCAAAAGTCTGGCGGGTGCTCGGACGAGCCCGGACAGCGCTGCGCAGCGCATGGCGAGAGGGGGAAGCCCGAAAGCGATCGCCCCTGCCGCCCGATTCGCCACGGCGCGGGCAGGCCGGGTAGTTAGAGGCTCTCCACCTGCATCGGAAGAGGAATTTTTGGCAGGCAGGCGAGTCGGTCCGGTGGTCAGCTCAGCAGCGAGGGGCGAGCGAAAAAAAGGCGGATGACCGGCAGGCGAGGGGCCACTCCGTTTCTTCCAGCTGGCCGGCCGGCCTGCTCTCTGACTCCACGAGGCCGCGGCCTCTTCCTCCACCCGACCACCACCAACACCACCTCCCACACCCACCTCAAGGCCCCCTGCAACTCAAGCAACCTTGCCCTATCCTGTCCCGCGCTGTTCGCCCGGCGCCGGTCCCTAGCCCAAGTCGCTCCTTCGACCCTTACCGCATCAGCTCGACTTGGCCTCCTTCCGTGCCCTCTCTTGACCTGCCTCCTGCGGATCGCAGACGAACGGCGGCACCTGCTCCAGATTTTACCGTACACGCCCCCGAGCATCGACAACGCGCTATAGACGTCCTGCCGTCGCAGCCCGAGCATCTCAAGAGCAAGACCAGGCCTAGGCCTCGACAACACCACTGCTCAACCTTGGCTGTCCAGCCTCTGCCATCGCTTCGTCGACATCGCGACCAGTCGGCCGATTGACGGAGCAAGCTCACTCGAGGCCCTCGCGGTGTCCGCACTGGCCTAGCCGCGGCAGCTGTGCCGACCTCGACTGCGGGTTCCGGCCATGCCTGTCTCGACGGCTGCCAAGCTCGCCTCCCACATATGGAGGGGTGCCGCCCAGTCGGCCGCCAACGCTGCCCACACCTCCGCCAGCACCCTCCGCAGTGCCTTCCAAGGTACCGCATCCAGCACGACAGGCGCCGCCGGCTCTTCGTCGGGCACCGCCTCAAGCTGGACCTCGGGCCTTAGCGGCAGCGGCAGCTCCGCCGGTGCGGGCACCGGCGGCGCAAAGTACCACGCCGGACGTAATGCCCACTTCACCTACCAGGTGAGTAGCCTCGGTCCTGTATCCTCCGCTGCGCTCATGTCGGTCAGACTGCATCCCTCTGACTCAGTCTCTTCTCGACTTCAACTTGTAACCTACCGCTGCTACAGAGCTCCGGCCGCGCCATTTCGCAAGCGTCGTCCTCGAGCAACAATGACAGCAACAATGGGCGCAGCGACGACGACGACGAGGCGCGGAGGCACAAGGCGTACCAGCTGCGCCTCCGCGCCCAAAAGGGCTCGCCCTTGCGCGGGTCGGCCGGGCCGCCGAACCTGACCACGATACAGATGCAGGCACGCTTTAGGCACGCCTTCGCCGCCAACCGAGGCCAGATGCTCATCACCTCGGGAGAGACCGAGAGCAGCCCCGGCGTCCACAGCTTCTCGACGCAGGCCACCGCCAACCTAGCTGACGGCGCCGAGGATGCATCGACGACCACCATGCACACCGGCATCGCGCAGCTAACGCCGCAGGAAGATCGCGCCGATTTCGAGAACCCTGCGGGCTGGAGCTCGGATGCGCAGGCACCCAAGGGCAAGCGCCCGGCCGACGCCATCTACCGCCAGCTGATGCAGGCCATCCGTCGCAACGACAGCGAGGCGATTCGCAGCCATGTTTCAGCCTTCCGTGCACTGCCCAAGAACGAGCAGACCCTGTCGGGCTTCAACATGGCCATGGAGGCGCTCCTCTCGGTCACAAAGACCGGGGCGCTCACCCGCGATATCACCAACATTTATAGCCAGCTGATCGAGAACGGTCTGTCGCCCAACAGCCGCACCTTCAGCGTAGTGCTGAGGGCGCTCTGCGCGAGGGACGTCGAGGTGCAGCAGAAGCTCATCAGCAAAGCCAGATTGGCCGCCGCCGCCGCCAACTCTGGTGAAGGTGCGGTCCAAGCCACCAAGGTCGAGGCCAAGGCGCTCGACAAGCTGCAAAGGGAGGACGACTATCAGCAGGCGATCCAGCTCTTCAACGTGGCCCACCAAAGCAACCATGGCCTGCCCGATGCCAACCCCTACAATGCGCTGCTGCGGTCCTGCGCCGTCCGCGGCGACGTCGACAGGGCCATTGGCGTCCTCGACATGCTCGAGAGGAGCCGCTACGCCTCGGCCGACGGCCAGACGTTCAAGCACCTGATCCGCACCTTTACCCACGACCCGCAGGTGCTTCCGGACGAATCGAGCCAGGACGCGGCCGCGAGGAAGCTGCTCGCGTGCAAACAGGTGTTCCAGGAGTTCCGCGAGGCCAGCAAGGGCCCCGACTGGGACCACGACAGCGACGCCGCAGTCTGGCGGGAGCTGATCGCGGCGTCGTTCCGACTCGGCGACCCCTCTGGCGCCGTCGCTCTTTTTGAGGAGATCGTTGGCGGCAGCGGCCAGTCGGACTCGCACGTGCCTCCTGCCGACAGTCCGATGGTTTCGGCCATGCTGCGCGGCTTCCTTGGGTCCGGTGACCTACCCACCGCCCTCGACTGGTTCTCCAAGATTGTCTCGGCCAACCAGGACGGTGGCCGGATGGCGCTGCCGGACCCGCACACCCTCGAGCTGCTGATGGCGCCGCTTTCGGAGCAACCCGACCTGCTTCCGGTCCTCAACCAGGTCTCGGATGCCTACGCAAAGGTCAGCAAGGGTCGCGGCTGGAAGGTCGGGCTCGACGTGGTTGCCGGCGTGGTGAACACCAATTGCCGGGCCGCCGAGGAGCTGCTGAGCTCGGAGCACGCCGACAAGGAAAAGGCAGACGAGTACCTGGATCGGGCGATGGAGTTTGTCTCGGAGATCTACCCGCGCTACATGGACCACCTCAAGAAGCGCTTTGAGCCAAGCGAGCGGCCGGACGACACGAGGTTCTGCCTGCTCTCGCTCTGTACCCTGTCGGAGCTGCTGGTCCGCACGGGGAGGGTAGTCGACGCCGGCAGCGTCATGACCTATTCCGTCATCTTTCTGGACAAGACCAAGTGGAAGAACGGCACCCTGGACACGGACCTGTGGAACCGCGTGCTGGCCATCAGCCGTGCTCTCTTCGCCATCGACGGCAAGCCGCCGGCCGCCCGGTCCGCTCTGCACCTGGTCGCCGCGGCCGAGTTCATGGCCCCCGTGCTGCGTCGTGCCGACGTTCTCGACGAGACCTACGCCGCCGGCCTGGTCCAGCTGTACCGCCAAGCCTGCAGCGAGGAAGATGCCAACGCGGTCGTCCGCCTGCCGCTCACCAGCAAGGGCTGGTCGATGCTGCTCGACGCCTACTGCTTCGAGGAAGCACACCTGCGGCCGCGCGACCCGGAAGCCTTCCACCGCGATGGCATCCCGAGGCTCCTCGATGACCTCGGGCGGCTCCCTCAAAAGGCATCCCACGCCGACCCCAACAGCCGGCCCACGCTCGACGTCAGCGTCGCCCTGGATCTCGCCGAGAAGCGGTACGGAACGCAGGCGCTGGCAGCCTTCAAGCCGTGGGCGTTTGACAAGGTCGCTGCCAAGATGCAGGCCGCAGACTCTCCAGAAGTGACGGAGAGCGAGGCCAGCTCCGTTCAATATAGCGAATCGTCGAGGGCTAGCAGCACCTTCACCCGAGACACCTCGCCCTCTGATGGCCCGGCACCACTGCAGCGCGACGACCTGCCCAGCGCCGCTGTCGAGTCAGCCGGCTACACGTTCCCCGATGTCCAGGTGATCGATACCGACCTCGGCCACTACCTGACCGACCTCAACAAGGCCGGATTCTCGCGATACACCCCGCAGGACGCCTACCGGCGCCTCCAGAAGGAGCTCCAGGTCGGCAACTTTGCCCACCCCGAGGGCCTGGCCGCCCTGATCGGCGCCTTTGGCCGTGCCGGCAACACCGAAAGGATCCACGAGCTCTATGCCATGGCGCAGCACGTGCTGCATGCGCTCGGCGGCGACCCGAGCTGGCAGAGGAACGCCTGGTTCCACGTCGAGGACGCCATGATCTCGGCCTTTAGCCACGCCGGCAACGTCGACGCCGCCACCGTCCATCGCCACCGCATCATCGCTGCTGGCGGCGCGCCGTCCGCGAGCGCCTATGCCGCCCTTATCGCCACCATTCGGGACACGACCGACGATGCATCCATCGCTCAGGAGCTCTTCGACGAGTCGCGCCGCTTTGGCATCACGCCCTCTGCCTATCTGTTCAACACCGTCATCTCGAAGCTCTCGCGTGCCCGCAAGGCCGATCGCGCCCTCCAGCTGTTTGACGAAATGACCATCAACCACCGCATCCGGCCCACCAGCGTCACCTACGGCGCCGTGATCAACGCCTGCACCCGCATCGGCGACGAGCAGCGCGCGGTCCAGCTCTTTGCCCGGATGGAGGATGACCCCTCCTTCAAGCCGCGCGTGCCCCCCTACAACACCATGATGCAGTTCTACGTGCAGACGCTCCAAGACCGCGAAAAGGCGCTCGTCTACTACAACAAGATGGTCGAGGCCGGCGTCGCGCCGAGCTCGCACACGTACAAGCTGATGCTCGACCTCTACGGAGCCATCGAGCCCGTCATGCCTGACGAGCTGGAGTCCACCTTTGAGCAGATTGTCCAGGACCCCAGCGTCAAGGTGCAGGGCACCCACTGGGCCTCGCTCATAATCTGCTACGGCAGCATGCTCGGCGACCTCGACAAGGCCGTCGCCACGTTTGAGTCGATCGCCTCGCACCCCTCGACCGTCGCCAGTGGCAGCCGCCTCCCGGACGCCGTCAGCTTCGAGGCCCTGCTCGCCGTCTTTGTCAACCGAGACCGCCCGGACCTGGTCCGCACCCACTTTGCCAAGATGGTGGGCTCGGGCATCAAGATGACGGCCTACATCGCCAACCTGCTGATCCGCAGCTACTCAATCGAGGGTCCCGAGGGCTTGAACGAGGCCAGGCAGATTTTCGAGAGCATGAGCGAGCCTGCCGCTGGCGTCGCCGCCCTCGGCAATCACACTCCTCGAGCCCACGGTGCTGGCGCGCCTGTGCCGCCCGAGCAGCAGCGACCACAGCAGCAGTCGCAGCAGTCTGCCACTACTGACAGCGCGCTGGCCACCGCCGGAACGTCGCCGTTCGCTGCGGTTCACCGCGAGCCGTCGACGTACGAGACCATGATCCGCGCCGAATTGCACCACGGCAATCGCGACAAGGCCAGTCAGCTCCTTGAGCGCATGGAGCACCGGGCCTTCCCGCCCGCGCTCCTCGTCCGCGCTGCCATGCTGATCTCCGAGGCGCAGGCGCCGACCGACTCTGCCGCGACAGGCGCCGCCTCCACTGTCTTCGACCCATTGCCGAGCAAGCACTCGTGGGTCCGCCAGTCACCCCGGTCCGGCAATGTTGGCCTTCCGGGTAGCGCCCACTCTCTCCACACTGCGCACGGTCCCGGACCTGCAGCTTCGGTCCGCCACGCCTCGACCGCCGCCGGCAGTGCCAACGCTCCTGGCACCTCGAACCCGGCGCCTGGTCCTCCGAAGCCCAACAGCCCGTTCACCATCTTTGACCGCCCCACCAAGACAACGCAAAAGGACCGCGCTGCTGTCCGCAAGGCCGACGACGCAGATGAGTCGACGCGCGGCGCGGCATCGCGGCAGACCGACTACGTCCGGCATGCCATCGCCGAGTCGCTTGCCGATCGCGTTGCCGACATCAAGCGCGACTACCCGACCATCGTCGAGCTGGGCTCGGGCGCCGGCTTCCTGCGCCACCACCTCGACCCGGAGGCGACCGGCACCAAGAGGATCATTATGTGCGACACGAGCGAGGCGATGCTGAAGCGGGACGAGCACCTCGACTCGACGTTCCCCTTTGAGTTTGAGCGGCGGGTGATCGACGAAGAGTCGCTGCCGTTCGAGGAGGCCAGCCTGGACTGCGTCGTCGTCTCGGGCGGCCTGCACTGGACCAACGACCTGCCGGGCGTGCTGATCCAGATCCGCAAGGCGCTCAAGCCCGACGGCGTTTTCCTGGCGGGCCTGTGCGGCGGCGACACGCTGTTTGAGCTGCGGACATCGCTGCAGCTGGCCGAGCAGGAGCGCGAGGGCGGCATCTCTGCGCGTGTCTCGCCCATGGCCGACCAGCGCGACATGGCCTCGCTGCTGCAGCGCGCGGGCTTCACGATCCCCACGGTCGACGTCGACGAGGTGAGCATCGGCTACCCGTCGATGTTTGAGCTCATGTCCGACCTGCGCGACATGGGAGAGTCGAACGCCGTCATCAACCGACGCCCGCACCTGCGCCGCGACACGATGCTGGCCGCCTCGGCCATCTACTCGTCGCTGCACGGCATCCAGGAACACGCCGAGGGCGAGGGCGAGGGCGAGGGCGAGGTCGAGGGCGTGGTGAGCGAGGCCGAGGGCGTACCCGCCACGTTTAGCCTCATTTTCCTCATCGGCTGGGCGCCGAGCGAGTCGCAGCCCAAGCCGCTCAAGCGGGGCAGCGCCAAGCACTCCCTCAAGGACGTCCTTGCCGGTCCCGAGGGCGACGTGCAGAAAAAGGTCGAGGAGGAGATGGAAAGGGAGGAGCAGCAGAGGCTCATCAAGTCGTTTACGATGAGCATCAACGAGACTGGCGGTAGCGGCGGCGGCAAGGGCAAGAAGTGATGCGGTGCGCGCACCGCGCGGGCTAGATAGACGTGGAGCGCTCCTTGTACCATCAGCTGCCGAACGATGCGATCTTCTTGTTGGTTTTCGGCTGGCTACACGGCCCGTCCGTCCGCCCGCGCGCCCCGTCAGGGCACCGCATCTGCCGCCACGTCCAAGTTACTGATCACACCTCACGCCGACGGCCTGCAACCGCACACGCCCGACGCTCACAAGCCAAGAAGAGGAGGAGGAAAAGTGGGACATCCGGTCGGGGGCCGGGAAGGAAGAGGAACCAGCCTCTAGATCCCATGAGCAGCCCCCGCCGTGCCAATGGACTGCTTTCAAAAACGACGACCGAAGAGAAAAAGAAGAACGCCAAAGGAGGAAAGGGAACCGGACCGGAACCCCCACGGGTAGGTTGGGGGGGACCTTGACCCAAAGAGAGGCGAGGAATCGAGGCGAGACGGTGCAGGGCGTTTTGACGTCGCCCGCAGCTCAGAGGGAAACGAAGCAAAGAAGAAGAGGAAGAAGAAGGGGGAAGCCAGCGTACAAGAACACAAGTGTTGGAGATGGGAAAGTCAGAGAAAAGGGCCGGGATCAAGACGGGCCTTGGATCGGCCGTCAGTGATGGTGGTGTGTGAAGTCGAAGGTGGGCCGGATCGGGTCGGGTCGCGAGCCAGGGCCTGAGGGATGGTGGGTGGAGGGCGAATTGGGCGCCGAAAAAAGGACCGTGAGGTTTTGCGGGTGACGTGGGGATGCGGCAGACGGAGAAGAGAGACACGAGAGATGCGAGACGGGACGCGGAGGACGGAGCGCCAGGTGGGACCAGGAACCGCATTGCGCCTTGCCCCCGAAACCTGGGATAGCGTCGGGTGAGGCAGGGCTAGACGCCCACCTAGGCCTTGGTGGCCTCCTCGTCGTCGTCGGCCTCCTCGTCGACCAGGCGGCCGTACTTGGCCTCGAACTTCTCGATGCTGGCCTTGCGGAGCTGGCAGTAGTCGTCGCACTCGACGATGTCCTGGTAGGGCTCGAAGGTGTCCTCGTCGTCGATGATGGTGGCGCCGTCGAGGTCAGTGTGGACGACGCCGGAGCGCGGGACGTGGACCATGCCGGGGAGCGAGCGCTGGTGGCGGTGGTGGGGGATGGTGTCGCGCTTCGAGTTGCTGCCGCTCGTGTAGATGTACCAGTAGGCGAGGTCGCGCAGGGAGCCGTTGCCGTTGAAGAAGGCGTTCTTGTTCGAGGCGTACGAGTCGGGCGGGCTGTTGACCTTGAAGCATCCGAGCCACGAGGCGCGCTGGACGTAGCCAGTCTGCTCCATCCAGGTCGTGGCCTTCATGTGGAAGTTCTTAATGTCCTGCTGCGACGCGCCGGCGGCCGACGTGATGCCGTACTCGGTGACCCAGATGGGCCTGTTGAAGCGCTTGTGCACCGACGAGATCCACTTCTTGAACGCCGTGAGGTCCTTGTGGGTGCCGTACCAGTGAAGGGCCATGAAGTCGATCTGGCAGCCGAGCTTGTCGCACTCGTCCATGAAGGTCTCGAGCCAGTCGAGCTTGTAGACCATCTGGGGCGACGAGAGCTTGACGCCCTTCTTGGCGTAGGGCTGGATCTCCTGCATAAAGAGCCTGGCGGCGTGCTTGGGGCCCATATTGGCCTGGCCGGGGATCTCGGGCTCGTTGAAGGCGAGGATGTGCTTGGGGAGGTCGTGGGCCATCTCCTTCTTCCTCTGGTTCCACTTGTCCTGGTACTTGGGGCCCCAGAAGCAGGGGACGAACTCGAGGCCGCGCTGGTCGAGGTACTTGTTGGCGGCGTCCTGCCAGTGCCAGTACCACGAGACGTAGCCCTTGCCCATCTTGGTGCCGAGGATGTCCTCGGTGCCCCAAGAGAGGCCGCGCTCGCACGCCTCGGTGTAGGTGAAGAGGGCCAGGGCGGCGACGATGGCCGCGGTGATGGAGAGTTTGAAGCTCAGCATGGTGAAGAGAGAGGGAGTGTGAAAGGGTGAGAGAGGGAGTGTGTCGTGGAGCGAGTGTGTGCGTGTGCTGACGCGTGGGATGCTAGGATACGATGCGGGTCGGACTGAAAGGGTCGATGTCGAGGACGAGTGGTTTGTTGAGTCGTTGGTCGTGGGTCGAACAAGGGGAGGCAGCAAGAACACCGTCGAGGAGTCTAACAGTCAGTCGAGTGCAGGGCGAAAGAGGGTTGGAGAGAGTGTAGAGAGAGGGACAGCGATGGAATCGTGCTCGCAGAGCTACGAAGGTATCGTTGGCGCGTGGAGGGGAGATGGGTGGTGGAGGAGGGGAGAGATGGAGGGTGGTAGTGGTGGTGGTAAAAGAGGAAGGGGCGGACGGCAGGAGAGCGGGCGTGAAGAAAGATCAAAGGGGCAGGAGGAAGGCAGGAGGAGGGCAGGGAGGAGGGGGCCACGCCAGGGCAGGGCAGGGGAGAGGAACGCGGTTGCTGCTGGGCTCCGTCTGGTGCCGACTGGGGGCAGACGAGGCGGTTCAGCGCCAGATGGCGCCCTCTAGCCTGCGCGGCGCAGGAAAAGCCAAGCCACGGCTGACGAGGAGCGCAAACACGCGAAACGAGGTGAGGCCAGGCCTGTCTGGCCATCAAGCACAGCAGCCAGGCAGGTAGCCCGCCTGTCGCCACCGTGGCCTGCCCGAACTGGCGCGGAGTGTGAGAGTGGCTTGCGAAAAGAGGGGGGCAGAGGAGAAAGGGGTGGCGAGCAGGCAGGCGGGCGGGCGGACGCTTCTTGGCACAGTCCGAGCGGGCCCTGAATCGCGCAGCTCGACAAGAAAGGGCAGGCAGGGTATAGGCTACGGCAGGGCAGGGCAGGGCAGGGTAGGGCGAGGCGGCGCAAGCCAGATCAGGCCTAGGCAGGCGTCCCTGGAAGAGAGCGCCAGCGCCCGTTCGCAGGGCCATTGACCTGCAGTCGGACGCAGCTCGCATATTCTCCCGCAGGGCCTGCCTGCGCCGAGGCGTCTCTCTGAGGCGTCCCAACACAGCATGCCCGTACGTCGTCGTTCGTCGTTGTTCGATCCATGCCCGGCCTGGTCCACCAGGCGGGACATCAAAACAGGCTCATCCGACAGAGAAGAGAGAGGGATCGAGAGCCAACCAGACCGACCTGCCTGATCCCTAGCCTTCCGTGGCCGCCCGGCGGCCCGCCCGCGCGCCCCGCCCTTGCGCGGCGACGGCGACGGCTGTTGCCAGCATACCACCCTCCGCGCCTAAGCTCGGCCCGCCTCCGTTGACCATCGGGCCGGCCGCGCCCGCCCTACTTTGAGCATCGATCGTGGTATCGGAAGGGGTCCGAACCGAAACGGAGGAGGCGCCGTCAGCTATCGGCGGCGGCCGTCTTGGGGCGATTTGGAAGAGCACGCAGGCAGGCAGAGAAGGTCGCAAACTTTGCACCTGCTGCACACGCTCTGCAGGCCGGTAGTTGACGGCTGCCTGCCTGGCTGCCGGGCCTCAATCCGCACCGACACCAGCGCAGCGACCTCGTATGCCCTGCCAAGAAGCGCCATGTCATGCCCCTGAGCAACAGAGCAAGCAAGGTCTGCACAGACATGTGTGCGTGCGTGCGAACGAACGTGTGGGTACCCTACGCCGGTGTTTGTGTATATGTGTGATCGCTCGTCGCGCTCCACTACGTGAGTGTATGCGAAGGGTACAGCCGGCGGCCGTCGTCATCGTATCGGTACCAGATCCGCTCGGCGATGCCGATGCCGTTGGCAACAACGAACCTGGGATGCGGTCCTCCTTTCCCCCTATCCCAGGCGGAGGCGGGTATCAGGGAGGTCCACTGGTCTGCTCTCCGGTGCTCAGCGCGTTATCGCTGGGCGACAACGACGCCGTTGCACAGGAACGTGCGCGCACCTCCGCCCGTACGTTTACCACCATCGCTGGTGCAGACGGCGACGGACCTTTGCGCACTTGCTTGCTCTCCTGCCTGTTGGCTTGATATGTAGCACCTCCGCAGGCCCCAGAGCTAGAGTGGATCCATACTCCTCGGTTCGCCAGCGATCGTCGTTCAGATGGGCAGGCGGGGCCGCGTTCCTCGAGCTCGCCTGGCCATGGTCGTATGTAGCCGAAAGGGCACAGGGAAAAGGCGCCGCCGCCATGATCTGCGCCCTGCCTAGCCGCCTGGACCTCAGCCGAGGCGCAGGCGCTTAGGGCGAGCCAGCGCAGGTCCGCCAGGCCGGCCGGCCAGCAGGAAATTCCAGCCTGGAAAAACTTAGCTTGATCCTGGCCAGCGGGCCGCGTGCCTGCCTGGCGCGTCGATGACCGTCGATCGGCCCTCCCCGGCCTGGCCTGGTGTCTCGCAGTTGGTCTCACCGGCGTCCTCCCGCCTGCCGAGCCCGCACGCAGCAGATGAGATCGATCGGCCCAGTCTCGATACGTACGATGAGCATACGGTAACGGTAGCATGTGGAAGCCATTCCTCTCCTTCCCCATGTGTTCGCCGTCGTGGTCGGTGCGGTGATGATGCCCAAGAGGCTCGGCTCGGCTCGACTCGACTCGATTCGACACGTACGTACGGTCCGACCAACGGTGCATCTGGTACTGTAGCGGCACGGATGTACGTAGGCCCGCTTTGTTGCCGTCCGTCGATCTTCTTTGGAAAGGCGGGTTGTGCGGAAACCGCGCAGCTCTGGCCGCAGGTTGCCGCAGGACGCAGACGGGCGCGCAGCAATGTAGGTACGGCACGAGGAGGCCGGCCTGGCCGCCTTTCTTTCGTGCGGGTTCTGACAGAGACGTACACGTACGGCGCCGACCCTCTGTTGGATGGATGCCGACGCAAAGGTAGGGCTACGTTCCTCTGACGGCACGTCGCCTCACGAGCTCGTGCATGGGGCCGGGCTCGCCGTCCGGAGTTGCAGGCAGGGCCCGGCTCGCCGACGTTGTGTGGTTGCGGCTCCTCGTCCATCGCTTTGCTTCTCGATCTTCTATCGGTCGTTCAGCCCCTCGGTGTCGCCCGAGCGGCGGCATGCCTCTGATCCCGTCCATCCAGCGAAGACGGGAATGAGGGGGGAACGGTCGCCGGCTCCGCAGCTTCTCCGCACGGGGCTGGAATGGAATGGCCGGTGAGCTACCTGGCCACCTTTCAAGGTCCGACGGATGTGCACCGAGGCCGCAGAAAGAACCGCCACCCGGCGTGGTAGCAGCAGGCTTGCAGAGGGAGAGCTCGTGCTAGCCCTGATGCGCCTGCGATCTGAGATCCATCGACAGGCGAACTTCCCGATGAATAAGAATGCTCTTCCTCTGCTAGCAAGGATGCAATGGATCCTGTGCGGAAGAGACGAGAGGCGATGCAGTGCCGTGGGATCCCGGCGCAGGCTCGGTGGGTCGGTGTTGATGTCGATCTCGGACGCAACGAAACGGTTCTTTGTCATGTACGTGACCAACGTCTACCATACAGCGGGTGCCTTGTCTTCGCCGCCGTCGCTGCCGTTGCAGCTACAGTACGTGCTCGCGAACAAACATGAAAGCAGATCTTAGGCCTAGCAGCAGTTACTAGTCGTGGTAGTGTGCAGGCCTAGTCTAGTGTGCGCTAGCCAGAGAGGTGACCAACTACGTCGGCCTGCAGAGCTACCGACCGAAGCCGTCGAGGCGGACTCGGATCCAACTGCCTTCGAGGCTGCTGGCCATCTATCTACGCCGCATCGAAGCCCGTGTCTGTCGACGTGGATGTTGGGCAGGGGCGACCGTCATCGCCGTCGCCGCTTCAATCGGTCCGCCGGCAAGCGGCAGGCCAGGCGACAGAGCACCAATCTCGCTCGTCGTCGAAGCCCTATCCTGGTGGTTCGGGGAGCCATGGGCCGGGAAAATCTCATCGTAGACAGGCCTCCGTCTTCCCGTCGAGACCAGCTGTCGTGTCGAATCGAGGCACACGTCGTCTGCTACGAGAGAGGCCGACGTGCTCGATGCAACGCTGTCTGTTGTGTTTGCTTCTTGTTTGCAACATTTTCGGGCCTTGACATCGTCCGGGGGTTTAGCTCAGTTGGCAGAGCGTTCGCTTAGCACAGCACAGCTTTCCCAAGCTGTTCAAGTGATCTGCGAAAGGTCGCGTGTTCGACTCATGCAGTCTCCATCGTCTCTTTTTTCCCGCCCTCCTGCGCATTTTCGTCTTGAATTCGCCATTCTTTTCTCCCCTGGCTGCTTCGGCCCGTCCGCGTTCGCAAACGCGCCTCGCCAGACTTGTGCTGTCCAAGATACCAAGTGATGGGAATGTCGCCTGCCCCGCCCCACCAGCCCGCCTTTCGCCACTTGTACTGGCAAAAAGGGGATCGCCCATCGACGGTCGCCCGCGCCCCCTCCTGACCAGACCTGGAGTCGGGTTGCAAAAAAGAGAAGCTGGAGACTACATGAGTCGAACACGTGACCTTTCGCAGACCATAGGCAAGAGTTGCCATGCTAAGCGAACGCTCTGCCAACTGAGCTAAACCCCCGGACGATGTTAAAGCACGGAAATGATGCATATACGAACGCAGAAAAGACCTTTGGCACAGATTGGCAACAACTGGCAGGCGACGGGTGCGGGAGCGAGGGACGACGACGATGGGCCTTTGCGCTGAGACTGGATTGCGAGATGAAGGCATCGACGGTGCTGGAGGGGAAGGAACAGAGACGGGGCGGGTATCTGGGGCTAGGAGGACAGGACGAAGCAGGACGATGGGTGCAGGACGGACGGGGTACAGTTTTCGGTCGGTCGGGGCGGGTCGAGTGTGCGGCAGCGCAGGGCAGGGGCGGCTCCTTGTCATCGTGTGAACGCCTTCGGGAGTGACTTGATTACGACGGCTAGCCATTGAGCAGATCGCTGATCGCCATGCCGCGCGAGCCGGGTTGGTCGGCGGCATCGCGGGCGGCTGCCTGCCTGTGCTCGTGCCCGTGCCCATGCCCGTGCCCGTGCTCGAGCTCCTGCGCCCGCACGTCGTCACGCGACCGCATCTCGACGTCTTCGTCGCTGTTGCGCTCTGCGATGCACGGACCGCTGCTCGCGTCGTCGACGATATGCTGGCGCGCGGTGAGGCTGCCGCTCGTTTGCTGCGTCAGGGGCGAGGCAAAGGCGGGTGCTCGGTTCAGGTCCGCAGCATGTCCGTGGACGGATCGATGAGCACCGCCGGCGTCTGCATGCCGCACCGCGTTGGGCGACGGCGTGCGGACACCAAAGTCGGCCCCGGAGCGCGCAGCAGGGGAGGCATGCCCGCGTGAGCTCCCTGGCTGCTGCTGCTGCTGCGGCGGCGGCGAGGCCCACGAAGCCTCCTGGCGATGTGCGGAAACCGAGTAGAGGCGCAGGGGCGACGGCTCGGCGGCGCTCGTGGTGAAACCGCGAGGGCGCTGCTGCGGCTGTGGGTGCCGCGAAATCCGATCCGGCTCTTCGTCGTGTGCCACGATCGCCTGCGGCCGTGGCTGCAACACGGAGGGAATTGCGCCGTCATTCATGGACGGGGCTCGCGGGGCGGGCGCGTCGTAGAACCTGTTGCCGTCGTCGGGGCGTGCCGGTCGCGGGTTCGAGTTGCCAGAGCTGCGTCTCCGCCCTGTTGCGCTCTCCTGCGGGTGAATGCCCACGGGATATCCCGCAAACGGCGGCCTCGCCTCGTGCGAATACCTGGCGTACTCGTCGCGACTCGTCGGGGCCGTCGAGGCCGTGGCGTTGGCTGCCCCGTGAGGCGTCGACGAGGCGCTTCGGTTGACAGAGTCCGAGTAGCTCCGCTGCCGTGAGAGGCGGCGATTGCCTGCCGACGCGTCGGTCGCCGCTGCGTCAAACGATCCCGAACCTCTTCCCTCGTCCGGCGTGCCTTCGCCAGGCGTCCGGAAACCGATGCCGAGCTGCGATGCGGCCACGGAATGGTCGAGCGTCCACCAGCCTCCCTTGCCCCTGGCGGCCTGGCTCTGCGAGGGCACGCCCGACGAGCAGCTGTCGTAGATGTCCTGTGCCGTGCGGGCCACCTTGACGAACGACTTGTTGAGCGAGAGGTTGTGCCGCACCGTATTCTGCCATCCCTGCGACTCGGGGCCCGTCATGGGATACATGCCCGGGTAGTTGTTGCTGATCCAGGTGTATATTTCGCGCAGCGTCATCCGGCCCTCTGGCGACGAAGAGATCGCCTGGGCGATCAGGCTCGAGTAGCTGTAAGGTGGCCGTCGTCTCCTTCGACTGTGTGCGATCCGATCCATGGGAGGTTGCGCGACCATCGGGGCGGCGGCGGCTGCTGCCGCTGCGAGGGCGAGGGACCGCTGTGCTGGATCCGCTGCAGCCGCCATTTCGCCGCGTACGAGGCTCTGCATCTGAACTTGGGCCTGGGCCTGCAGCCGGCGCTCGTATCCGACGCGTTCAGCCGGGTTGAGATGGGAGGGCGGGATGTGCATCGGCATCGCCTGCTGGTTCGAAGCCGCCGCCGCCGGAGCCAGTCGGTGAGGCGCAAGTTGGTGACGCGGGGCGTGGGGCTCGGCGGCAAAGTACGAGTCTCCGCCTCCCGAGAGCAGCGTCGTCGGCGAGATGCGGTCATCACCTTCGTGTCGCCAGCCCATGGTCTGGGTCCGAGGAGGCCGATGAGCCGCTCCGAGCGCGCCGGGAGAATGAGGGCGGTCATGGACGCCGAGGCCTGATGGCGGCTCGTGGCCGACCCGAGGATAGGCCGGCGGGATGCGATAATACGGCCCGGATATGGTCAGGCCCGAGGGTGCGGCGCGATCCTCCATTGACAGCTCGTCCATATTCAGCGGCGAGACTGGCGTGCCAGGTCGCGATGACCTGGACCCGGTCGGTGGTCCGCCGGCCGCAGCGGCGGCAAAGTAGCTGCTCGCGAAGCGAGGCGCCGGCGATCCGCTCCTGCCCAGACGAGGGCTGAGGGGAGCAAACAGCAGCGGCGACTGCTGCTGGTATCCTGCGAGCGGAGGGGTGGCGACGTTGACGGAGGAGGCCTCTGTCATGCTCGACATGGTGCTGTCGCGTCGGGAACGATGTTCCTCCCACGCGCCTGGCATGGGGGCGGCCAGGCCATCACGCCCAAAGTTGTGGGCGGCCGCTCCGCCGCCAGGATATGTTGGACTGGCGTGGTAGCCGGGAACGGCCCTCTGACGAGCCAGTTCTGGCTGCGGGAGCGAAAGGGTGCTGGCCCTTCCGCGGTTGCGCTTCGGTCCGCTAAAGGGCGTGCGCGCCGGTTCAAACGCCGACGGCTGCGGAAAGCTCGAAGGCTGGAACGGCTGGGCGTCGTGCTCGGCCAAGAGCGCCGGGTCCAGCCTGCCGCCGTGGACGCCGGACAGCTCGGCGGCCTGCTCGTAGGCCCGCAGCGCGGCGCCCGAACTGCTCGGGGCTCTGCTGAGACGCCGCGGCGAGGTCCGTTCGACTTGGTAGGGTGTCGTCCTCTCCTCGTCTAGCTCGCCTTGCTGGTAGTGTGGCGGAGGATGCGGATGGTGAAGGACGCTGGCCTGGTGGATGTGAAGATGCTGGGCCGGATGGTATGGATCGGGCTCGCCTGGCAAGGTGCCAGAAGTGACGCGGGGTGCGGGGTGGTATGGGTGATGCCAGGACTTTTGCCGCAGCTGGGGCGGCCTGGGCTGCTGCTGTGGCGGTGCGTCTGCTCGCAAGGCAAACGGGGGCAGGCGAGAGGCGTCAATGAGGAGGCTGGACCAGCACGGGTCGGCGTCGAAGAGGCAGCGACGGCATCTCTCCGAACCGGCCTCTCTTTGCCAGACGCGGGGCAGGCGGGCCGCTTACGGCCACTGCATCACTCACCAACGTGACGGCCGCTGCCCATGTGCTCGGGAAGCAGCTCTGCGGGCGCGTCGCCTCCTCGCGGGATGCGATTGGTGGTTCGGGAAGGTTCCGAGTACTGCGAAGGCGAACGGTCGACGTGGCTATCGGGACGGCGTGCGGCTGCAGCATAACGCCAGCCTGGGGACGATCCGGACGAGTTGTTGGCCGCCGCCATGGTCGGACTGTGGCACTCCTTGGACGCTCTGGGCACGCGCAACGGCTCCTGGGGACGGCGGGCCGATAGCAGCATCGAACAGAGGTGTCGGGGCGATCTAGGAGGTCGAGGATGGATGCTCTCCCCTGCGCAGCGGCACGTTCCGAACAGGCCGATGCAGTCCTGCGCTGATCTCTTCGGTCACGGAGGCGACGAGGGCGGGCCGTCCGGTATCGACGAGCAGAGTCTTGTGGCGAGCGGCGGCGGCAAGTTCCGACAAAGGACGCGCGATATCGCACTCGAGTCTAAAAAGCGGTCGGACCAGGTCGAGTCCGGTTGATCGGGCGACGGGGCTCCCGCGGGCGAGGGGGCCAAGCGCCTCGGAGAGTGGTGCACGGGCCGTGGACGTCTGGGCCAGCAGTGTCTCTCGAAGTGAGCGAGCGCACGGAGATGAGCCAGAGATGGTAGCAAAGGCGAGGTGGCGCGGGGGCTGCACGAGGCCAGCGCGCGGATGTGCTGGTAGGAGGAGGGTAGTGTCGAGTCGAGGAGGTCAGATCCGCCGATGCGCAATGGATCTAGAGCTGTTGGTCATCTCTCGAGGTGGGTTGATCAGGGCATAGGTCCGTCCGCCTTGGCAGATCGAGTCGCTCGAGGGGTCGGGGATCAAGAGCCACCCTCAGCAGGGGCAGGTGTCGGAAGTCGCCGAAAGGGGCGGACGAGGCCGATGTGTCGATGTTCGATGCCTCTAGGCGTCCAAGTGGCGGGACAAAGAACCGAGCGAAGTGGGTGGCGCCGGCAGGACTCAGGAGTCGTCGAGGTCGTCGAGGTCGTCGAGGTCGGCTGGCCACCACTGCAGCAAGAGTGGCTCGCTGGTCGACCGTGGCTGAAATGTGCAGCGAGCAGCGCTGGCGTCGGGCGAGTATCGGGTGAGCCGAAGGTCAAGTGGCGATGGAGGTAGCGACAATGGTGGTGATGAGCCGAAGCTGGCAGGCCGAGACGGAGCGAAGCCGGTGGGTGGCAGGCCAAGGTGAAAGGGAAGATGGCGGCGGAAAGATCCTCGACCGGGCGAAGGGGCAACGGGGCAAGGGGAGGGAAGGAGCGACGGCTTCGGGGCTGAGCCGTGCCAGATGTCCAACAGCAAGCAAGCAAGCAGCAACGACCACGGCGGCGGCGGCGGCGTGGTCAGCGACAGTCGACAGGAGAGAAAGGGGAGGACGGGAGAGGAGGAGACAGCTGCATCGCCCTGGCTCGTTCGTCGGGCACTGGACGGACGACGTTGCTTGAGTCGGACAGGCTGGAGAGAGGAAGGCAGGTACTGTAGAGTGTGGGCTCGCCGTCTGCTACGGCGGTCGCACACACAGCAGAGGTGAAGGTGGGTGGGTAGGTCGGCAGGCAAGCCCAACCTGGACGAGCTGGCCAGCCCAACGCGGCGGACCCAAACTACCGGCGCAGGACAGGTCCATCTGTGGTCTGGGTGGCGGATGGCGGACGCAGCTCTCGCGGCATCTCCCCCACCGGCCCCTTCCTCGCCTCGGAAGCTGCCCGCCTAGGGAGGAGAGCGTCAGGCCTCACCTGCTGCTCGAATTGCCAGCACGTACGCCCGCACCGTCCACAGAAGGCGGGTGTGCCCGTCCCGTCCCTTAGCTTTAGCTTGCTCCTGCGTGTCTCTGGCCTGGGCCCATCTCGGTCTGCGCCAAGCGAGCCACAAACGTAACCTTGTTTTCGGAGACACAGACTTGGAGGCAGGGACCTCGGCGGGGCAGACGCAGAGGCCAGGCCAGGCCTGCCAGCCAACCAGCCAGCAAGCATGCAAGCATGCCAACGCTCACGACGAAGCAACCCGAAAGCGGAAGCTACCGGCTACACGAGAGGCAGGCAGGCAGGCAGCGCCAGCCCGGCAAGCAGGCGAGCGGTCGAAGCAGGAAACGGGCAGGCCCAGACACAAGCTAAGCGGCTCTACCTGCTGCCAGGCCATCGCACGACGACGACGAAAAGCAGCAGCAGCAGCTACCCCGGTAGCAACGAAGCGGCGCGCCACGCCTCAGGCTGGGCAGGTTGCCTCGGCGGAAAAGATGCGTGCGTGCGCCCTGGGGCCAACAGCCTACATATCCACCCATCCCCCACCATCATCGACCATCCAGCCGAATCGACCGAGCTTCTTGACAACCACCTAGCCTAGGCAGCCAGCAGCAGCAGGTAGCTAGGCCAGGCAGGTGTCAGCCCGAGCCAAGGTTCAAGGCAGGGAGAGCCTGGACCTGCCTGCCCGTTGTGCGGCGTGCTCTCTCTCACCTCGACCTTGCTCCATTCGATCCATGGCCAACAACAGCATCGGCTTCCCACCGGCAAAGGGCCTCGACGGCTAATCCAGCCTTCCGTCCGCACTACATACAGTACTACTACCGTCCTTCTCCGTTGGCTGGTGCGACTAATAATCATCGATCCTTCAAAACCTGACCTTCATGCTGGACAGTGTAAGTCAGTTGTGAGTCGTCGTGTCCGCGAAGTCCCCCCATCCCATGCAACCCGACTCGTGTGGCCTGCCGGCTGTTGCTGGGCCCGGACAGCTCTGCCCTCCCAAGTCCCGACGCCGGTCGGGATCCTCGCCGTCGTCTGCGCTGACCCGAGCGACGGACAAAGAGGCGCAACCCAACGCAACAGAGGCGGACATGCAATCGGGAGCAGGCGGTACGTCCCGTAGGGGCTCCGCACGGTGCGCCTGGTGGCGCTGCTCTGGCTTCCTACTCTGCCTACTCTGCCCTGCAGCCAGGTCGAAACACTCTTCCGCCGAGGACAGGCTAGGTAGCTACTCTGTAGGATGGCAGATGCGCTCGAACGTCCTGGGCCGTCAAAACGTGGGGGGGGGGGGGGGTAAAGGTTCCTTCTTGCATCGTCTGCGAGCTGGGCTGAGGTGGTCGCACCCAGAAACGACTCGCTCGCTTGCGGGCGGACGGGCGGGCGGACCCACGGCGGGCGGGCGGCGAGGGGAGGGCAAGGGTAAACTTCCGCGACCCCACCATCATCTCCTCGGACCAGGCTGGGCGGGCGAACAGACCTTGCAGTAGGCTTGCCCGCCCGCGGGTAGCACCCGGCCTCCTCGCTCTTCGCAGGTGGAAGCACAAATTAAACAAGCTAAGGGTGCCGGACCCGGCATGCCGGCTGGCGTGCCTGACGAGCCCGAGCTTGTTTGCGATCTCGAGGCACCGTCGGGACGAGATCCGGAAGGCGGTTTGGGGTGGGGTAGGTTGGGGGCAAGGCTGGGAAGCGGCGCGCTCCGTTGTCGCCAAGGCTTCAATGGGCTCAATGGACAGGGCAACAGGCAGATGGCTGCCGACAATCGGCCCGCCGGACGGGCGAGCCGGACGAACTGGCGCTCTCTCTTCCGATGGGCTGCTCGCGCGGCCGGGGCCGACGTGGATTGCTGCGCACCAGTGTGGCGGGATGCGCCAGCGGGCAGACTCCGAGCCTTGGTGCACGACTGGGTGCACGGGATGCTCGCGGGTGCGCGTAGCTTGTTTGCATCCCTCATGGCACCAAGTCTTGCCTGCCTGCCTTCATCTCTCGGCGGCCTCGGCGCCATGACTGTGCGCCAGGTGCTGCATATCAATCCCTGTCCGCGATGTCGACACAGGTGTCGGCCCACCTTCGAGCCCTGCGGTCAGATGCGCCATCGCTCTCACGGCCGGAGCGTGCCTTGACAACAGGTCGTCCGACAGCACAAGGTTCCAGAGCCGCCGCCGCCTTCGCCATTGTTCATTATCTGCACAGACACATACAGAGTTACAGCGTCATGCACGGAAAGCGATCAATGTACTTACAAAAGACTGTATCTGGGAGCATCTCGCATTATTGCTTTCGCCGATCAGGCCGCCCCTCCGTGCCGAAAAGGGGCTGGCTCTCTCTCTCTCTCTCTCTCTCTCTCCCTCGTCCAGGCATAGGAGGGCGCAAGGACGGAGAGAGGGAACGAGGCAATCCTCAATATCGACATCGAGTTCCTTGCCAAACGATCGACCTCTCTCTCTCCGTAGTCGTCGTCGACGACGACCTCGACGGTGTCCTTGGTGGTCCATCGGACCTGATGGCACGGCTCAGTGGGGCATTACAGTTTCTTGGGACGAGGGCGAGGCAGACTAGCCCGTCCGAAACGCACGCCGATGAGCCTCGATAGGGAGCGCGTCCCCGTGCACCTTCGTCGCCGAGTCAGCGGCGGCAAACAAAGTGCAGGTGCTGCCCGCTGCAGGAGGGGAAGGCCGCATCGCCTGCACTGAGATCTGAGTGCGGTGTAGATTTTGACGTGGAGCGGCTCTAGCCTTCTCTCCACCATGGCTTGCAGCGTCCTGTTGGGCGTGCTCAGACTGCGCCGGACTAGACCTCCAACTCCGATCCGACGCCGCCAGCGCGAGCCACCACCTTCGGGGGGTTCATCTCGATTAGAAGGCGACCCGCGAAAGCTCGGTGCCCGCGGGATGCACGTCTTCCAACCAAAAGCCGTCCCCGCTGCCGGTACAGTAAGACAGGACCACGAGCCCGCTTTGCCGCCGTCGCTCCGGGTCGATCGTCGCCCCGTGACGTGGCGCCTTCCGGAACCGCCTCTCTCTCTGTCGGCATCCAAGATGGCGTCGTCGACCGTGCTTCTGCTTGCCACGCTCAAGTTGTCATTGCCCAGAAGCCGCTGATAAGCGGGCGAGACGCACAGCCAGCACACCGGTTGGTACAGCAGTGCGGTCCGACGTACGAAAATTCGCAAGGACTAAAAGGCAGGCCGACACAATCAGCAGAGCACATAGAACAACACTTGAAAGCTATGTATGTAGTTAGCGTGCTCCTGAAGTTTGGCGGGCCCCGAAATCGAGGCAACCCAGCCGCGCTGCCCGCCGGGTCGAGGTCTCGACATCCATTGTCCTTTATTTTTCTTGTTGCGTCGGCCTCGCCGCCCCGACGACGGTGCACAGGCCAGGAACAATGGCTGCTTGGGAGTGTGGCGTGTGGACATGACTGTAGGTGAAGGTCCTGTACTTTGGACGGCCATTGTGCTATATGCAAGGTCGGCTCAGCATGACCAACAGGATGCCCGAAACGGAGGAAGACAAAGAGCGGAT